TATGACTGAGACAAAACCCTCAAGTCACGTGGACAGTTACTCATTGGTGTATGTGAATGTTGGTTTTCATGTTGAACCCCCTACTCCTAAGCAGTGGAGTGTGAAGGACTGCGTATCTGGCTCTTGCTCCACCACTGTGCCTTCAGGCGTGTCTGCTTTCTTGGCCCATAAAAACGGGCGGCTCCCTTGTTCCTGTTTAATGTGATATCGATCGAACAGATTCCCAGCTGGAGGACGAAGGGGTGAGAGAGACTGGCTGCCATATCCTTGATTGTCAGTTGGACAAAGATGTATGCAAGTGGGACCCCTCTGACTCTCAGCTAAATAAGAAATACTGGGGAGGAATCTGTGCGCCACCACAGGGGTGTGGCTAGTGTTGAGAGCTTTTCGTAGAAAACTGGAGCATGGAATATTGTGAGTCATTACTCTGCTATGACTAGGCCTAACATGTCTACAGTCAAATTTGTGGCCCTAATGCTAAAATGGCTGCTTTGTATCACATCCCAGTGGCTTTAAATATTGAGTAGAAATATGAGTCTGCATGAAAACTATAAGGACGAGGCCTCAGAAATGCCAAGCACAGGACAGAGTCCTGCTGACTAGAATAAGGAAGTGTTCCCTGTGGATGCACTCTCCATTATCAGGAGTGTGGGAGAGACTTGAAGTCTTACAGAGTGATAGTACTTTGTATAGAGAGGCACAGCGGCATTTCATTAAGCATTAAATACCATAGCCTAAATTTAAATGAAAAATCCTGCATCAGCGAAAATGAGCCAGTTAAATCTGCACAATCGCAATCAGCTGATCAAGTTTCACGCCGTTTACTAAGGGAGTGTAAAGCATTTCAACAAGCAGCGACTGCAATAGACGACTTTCATATTAGCGTAAAAGCACTCTCAGAGCAGAGCCAAAGCACAGACAACTCAATTGATGCTGCCTTTTGGCAGCCTGTTTTGAAGTGGATGGTTTTTTTTCAGATCCTCTTTTTCAGGAAGCTTTGTATCTATTTACTCTCCTTTGTCTGCCGACACAAGTGTTTACCAAAGGAGGGGTGTACTTTTTAACACACAGAACAAACTGAATAAGCTGTTAAAAAAAACTGTTGACTACCATATGTCATCCTCTCTTTCTGTTGTTCTTTCTTTCCTTCTATCTTTCTCTTTTTAGGCTCAACAGAGGTGGCCTCTGCTTGGAAATTGTCAGGCTCCTTTCTACAGTACCCTCCCGCCCTCCAGTGGTAATATACTGTTACTACCTCCACATGAAAATAAACTGCTATGTGTCACATGGCTGCCCTCCTTTTTTGACTTTATACATTCATGCTGGTTAAAGGACCAACCCTAAACCCTCTGAAAGTAGATTCCCTGTTTTTGTGTTGCAGATGTGTCTTTGAAGTACAAATATGGCCGTTTGGTTCTGGAGGTCCCGTTGCCATCTAGGAATGAGAAGTGTCTGTTCTTCCTCAGACCCATGTTGATGAGTGTAGGAGACCTGATCACAGATCTGCAGAGAGAGGACCCCGGAGTCACCGCTTCTGTTTTCTCCAAGGGTATGACACAGCATGTGTTAGCTATGCGCAGACTGAGTCGACCACATTCTTCAGGTGTTGTCGGTCTGGTTTGACCATGTTTTTTTGGGGGTTTTTTTTGTTGCAGCCTGGTTTGGCAAGTTGTGTGTAAGCACTGAAAGCTGCACACAGTAATTTGGCAGGATGCCTGCTGGATATCATTTCATAAATCATTAACTCATTTTCACCACTGTAGTAAGATTGTTTAAAAATCCAACCACAAGATTTTAAAGGGTTAATTAGCAATAACTAATACTAATTTAATTTTACTTGTACTTTACTTGAGTATTTCCATTTTATAAGGAAAGTATTGCACTTTTTACTCCACTGCATTTGTTTTAGATACAAGTTACTTTGCAGATTCAGATTATTAATACAACAAATAAATCAATTTAGAAATTATGATGCATTATTATGGATTAAACTACCTAGCAGTATATGAAGTAGTTGAAATTAGCCCCAACATTAGCAACATTATAGCGATCATGTACACATTAATGTATCAGTAATTATAATCCAGTAAAATAATATTAACTATCCTGAAATGGGCAGTAGCACAATAGATCAGTGCTTCCCAACTATGGCTTGTGACCCTTTAAAATGATGCTGTTTACTTGTCACCGACAACACACATGTTATGGCCCTAACAGGCAACGTCATTGATTTTACACATTTAAGTCTATAGTGTGGGAATACTGCTGCATATGAGAAAATCATTGTATAAAGCCTTTTGTGACTGGAACTCGAAATCTGGAAATCTGATAAATTGCCTCAAATGTTGAGTCAGCGTTAGTCAGGACTGAGGACTACAAGTTTGAAAATGAAAAAAAAAAACAATCTGGGGCTGTTGAGTTAGAAAGAGGTGACATCTGTATCCGACCTCTGTAGCCCGCTCTTTGTCTGTGCTTATGGCTTAAGACTACATTAACTGCTATCCATATAACACCTTTGACAAGGAAGAAGAATGCATGGAATAAAAAAGATGACATCAGGCAAAGTTATAGGAGTACAGTGCTAAATTGGTGGAGTAGGTCTATATAAGTGTGGTTTTACAGTGATGAGTAACTTTGTTTCAGCTGTAAATTAGACTTCCTGTGTGGCAGTGTCTGTCTGAGGTTTATGTAGTATATGCAGGATTGATCTGTTTAGCATTTCATTATATTCTTAAATGCATTTTCTGTCTCTGTTTTGTGTTTTTATTGTGTTTATTTGGGCAGTTTGTCAGAAAAGAGATGAAGTTATATGATTGCTATAAAAGAACTCAGTTGGATGTTCATCTTCTTCTGACAGAGGGAGATCGTGTTGCCAACACCACGCTGATAGATGCTCTGCTGGACAAGGACTTCCAGCTCATCATCAACGATGCAGTTTATGACGTCCAGTCGCCTGAAAAGGGTATGAACACATTTCTCTCCAGCCATAAATGACCCTCATTTTGCCTTCCTCTCAGTTACACTTAGTCCTGCTGATAAATAGTAGGTATTATCTCTCCAGGTATGACTCATCTCACTTTCCCATCCTCCATCCACCTTGTTGTGCCCTCTGTTGCAGTGTGTACGTCAAGCGAGCACGCCATGGAGCTGGAGGACATGAAGCATGTTGTGCATCTGCTACACACAGCACTCCACCTGCCTGAGCACCACCTGCTGAAAGAGAGGGAGCTGCTGGAGAAACTGGACAACCTCAAACAGGAACTTTCACCTTTAGAAAAGGTACTTGATGTGTTATAGTTGGTTGATACTGTTTTCATCTGCTGCCGCATCATCTGTTTATTTTTTCAGTACAGTATGGGAAGTGACACACATGGCATTTCTTACCTGTTAGTTTTTCCTGGACAGGCTTCTGTGAATTAGCCAGTAACGTGTCGTCCTTGTATTATTTCCTGACAGATGAAGGCACAGCTGTCCCATACAGCAGAGTTCCAATCATCCAAGGTTCTCTGGACCGGCATGGCCCTGTTATCTGTGCAGGGTGGTGCTCTGGCCTGGCTCACTTGGTGGGTCTATTCATGGGATGTAATGGAGCCCGTCACTTACTTCATCACCTACGCCACCAGCATTGGAGCCTTTTCCTATTACGTCCTTACCAAACAGGCAAGTCTCAGGGACATTTAACCCACGTCAGTTCTGATCTTTTACAGTTAAAGGAATAGTTCGGCATTGTAGGAAATACACTTATTTCTCGCCAAGAGTGGGATGAGAAGATTGATGCCAGTCTCACATATAAGCATACTTTTAAATATGAAACAGCCAGAAGGCAAAATCCATAAACATGAGATGGTATCAATCATCTCATCTATTTCACAAAATGTCAAACTATTTCTTAAACATACTTTCAGTTAAACCTGAAGTCATGCATATGTTTTTTCTCCCCACATTAACAGCAAAACTACTTTATTCTTTCTTTCAGGATTATTTGTACCCAGATGCTAAAGACAGACAGTTCCTGCGTTACTTTTATAAGGGGGCCAGCAAGAAGAAATTCAATGTGAACAAATACAATGAACTGAAGGATGAACTGGCTCAGGTTGGTTGATTTGTTCAGTTTTTATAACCTCACAATGGCTTAATCCTTGGCTACAGGTAGAGACCTCGCTAACATGTTCTGGACACATATATGCTATAAGTTTAATAACTATTTCCATAATTTAAATCAAATAACATGTAAATTGCCTAATGTAACAGCTTTATACATTAGCAAACAAAACTAAGAGTTACCAGTCATACTAGCAGGTCTGTGAGGCTGAACCTAGGCACAGCAGCACTTTGAGCTAAATGCTAACATCAGCTAGCACTGATGTTCAGCAGGTGTAATGTGAAGAATGTTCACCATCTTAGTTTAGCGTAGTAACATGCTAACATAATAATTGTTTAAGAAAATTGCATCTCTCGTTTATTCATTGTTTCAAGGGGCTACAACAGTTATGATCCCTGCGTCTTCTTAAAATCTCACAGAAAATCGTTGGTGTTTGTTCGTGTTCTGTGTGTGACTGTGTTTTCTGTGCGTCAGGTGGAGGAGGACCTGAGACGTCTGAAATATCCAACACAAATGCAGCTGCCACTTGAACAGATCCAGCCAAAGCCATGAACGAAGCCAAGCCACGACGAGTCGTCACTCACACTAACACACTTCCAGAGCAAAAACATTTCTTCTGCTTTTTTTTTGATAATGGCCCCTTTTCAACGAGGAATCCATATCACTCTGTGTTTACAATCTTGATAATGATTCCAATTATATCTTTGAAAAGTATACAAACACTGAGGTCTATTGAAATAAAAAGTATTTCCTCAACACTGGGAGCTCCTCCTGTCTGCGCAATGTCTTTTTATGGAAATCTCAAAGATGTTTTGATGCCAGTAGATAGATAATAACCATGTTCTCTTAGAAGATGGAGATTTGACCAAAACAACAAAATCACTATATGTAACATCAGTAATATCACACAGAATTTATTGTAAAAAGTCAAAACAGTAAGACCCCAAAAATACAGGATGAGTGTATGCTGGTAACTTTGTTTTTCCTGAGTTTATAGATCATGTGACACAGCTGAAAGTGTTTTAGGTCCACAGTACATGTGTAAAAGGAAACCCCTTCTCCCTGAGGTACTTTCCACACTGGTGTTTGTTGCCGTTTTGGGTGCAAATACGCATTATTAAATTTAGTACTGTAAACTGCTACGACACAAAGAAGAGCACAAACATGAATTCCCTTTTTGATGGAGCGAGCTTGAACAAACAGCATGTTTACATTGTGACTGGATAATCTGCTATGACAGATTTTTCTTCATCATTGGTGCTTATAGAGTAATAGTTAAGTATTTAACCCTGATGTGAACAAAATCACTAGGAGTACTGTTTCCTGGTTGTCATGCTGTTATGTCACCTGCCTCGCAAGATACAGTAAGTTGGAAAATATTTGACATACCTGTAACTCACTGTACAGCTAAAAAAAACCCTCACCTGACACTTCTAGCTTCCTCTTGGACAGTATTTAGTCTAAGAAAAGCTTGCTTGAGCTTGCTTATTTCAAAATCTACCATTTTCTTGGCTTGTTAAGGTAAAAAGACAGTCGGCTAGAGAATAAGAAAACATTTCTGTAGTACCACAATAGTTAAAACTGGATTAAACAAGCTAAGATAAAATACCACAAAAGGCTATGAAAAGTAGCTGACGCAAAATGTGTTCTGTGATAATCCTGCAATTTAAAAGCAATTTTTTTTGAAAGTGCAAAATGTGTATTGAGCTACAGTGGTTGGGTAAAATAACAGGAACAACTTAAAATATAATGAAATCCAGTGGGGTGATCAGATTTCCTCTCTACTCTTACTGCTGCCACAGATCGTTCTGCCTGGATTCTCTGTCATGCAGATGCAAACACACACCAAAAAAACAACTTATAAACCAGGTGAAGGTTTATAAAATCTGGTTTCTCAAGAAGAAACATTACGTAACAAATGAAACCAACAATTCCAAATTATATGAGGTTTCAGAGTGATAAGATTGCCTGAGGCCAAGAATGTTCACATTATTTCAGCTCATGTCAGTACATGTTGCTCCTGTTATTTTGTGACCACTGATTCGATTGGAAAAACTGAATCTGTAAATAGCTGATTATTCAGTGCATATGTAAATAATAGCATTCACAAGCAACATACAGTAGATGACTGGAGAAAAATAGAAATTGAAAAGAAAAAAATCCCCCTTCCAGAGACCCTATTTTCCAGGCGTAAATAGAAAACCAACTAAATTAATGACTGAAATCTGAAACTGTTACTGTTTTGGTCGGAAGTAGAGTTTCTTGGTGAGCATTGAAGCAAAGCAAGGTACTTGCTTCTTCCCAATCGCACTCCGGTCATTACAGTTCCCTACGCTCCTCATTGACACTTTTCTGTTGACCAGTGTGAGTAACTCTGTGAATTCAAGGGAATCCCCATACTTCCGAAGCAGCTCGCACAGATCCTGGACATACCAGGATCCGTTGATGGTCTCCCGGTGGGAATAGTAGCCTTAACAAATGGCACAGGACAAGAAAGTTAACTGACTGGACAACATTTAATGCATCTGAAATAATTAACTCTAATATCAACTACCCATCAAGAGCAAATGACTAGTTTCAAACATCCTTGGCAGCTCACCTTCAGCAACAGAGTAGCACATGATGAAATCAGCTCCAGCAGGGAGGGTGTATACAGCGCTGGCGTCCACCACCACCTCATTCGTCTTTATCTCACTGTCCACGGCATCACAGGGGGTCACTGGATCATCATGCTTGTCTCCACGGCATGCCTAGTGACAGACATAGCATTAAAAAAAAAAAACATAGGTAATACTGCATGTTGTCATGTTCTAAAGGATTGAAAGGAGTATTGGTTTTTGTTTGCATGTACCTGTAATACAAAGATCTTTGGTTTTCCTACAAGGCTTCTGCACTTGTCTCCTTTGAACATGGATGTGATGTCCTGGATGCTGATCTTGCCGTCGTAGGTATAAACATGGTCATTCTCGCCATGGCTCAGGAAGACGAGCAGAAAGCAGTCTGCATCTGAATGATCGTCTTCAGCAGCTGGTGGGACATCAGGTACATCAGGTTAAACTCGCAACTGAACCAGCTAAAGTGAACTGTACTACAGGATATCAAATGCTGGATCTTTGCACGTTCAGGACAGCAAGGAAATAGGCATTACAGTAATGATGTTACAGTGCCTTCTGCTGAATATAGATGTAATTTCAGTCATATAGGTGATCGTGTACACTTACCTTCACTGATTTTTTGTAGGACTTCTTCCTCTTTGTAGTTGTCATAAGCCTTCACTTCAAAGTCCAGCTCTTTCAGTCTAAAGGAGAGGTGAGCATTAGTTGAGCATGTAATAAAATACAGAGAAGAAGAAAAGCACTGGAAATTCTTACAAGATGTTACCACAGACACAACATACAGTCGCTAAACCAGCGCACACAAGTAGCTCTAACAAACACAGTGTTCCCTCTCCTGCGGCTAGCTGCAAAGGGATACCTTCTCTCCAAGTTGTAGCGGTCAGCGTTGGTCCCGTGCCTGTCGCTCAACCCCAGGCGCCAGAAGAAGCGCTCCTGGTTAAAGATGAGTGCGAGGCCTCGTCGTTTGTTGCTCATCTTGTACTCCTCTGCAGGATCCAAAGCTAAAGAGCTGTTTCAAAAAAGAAACATGAATACAGACAACATTAGGTAAGTACTGGACCAAAGTGAAATGAGAATTTCATGCTATCAAGAAGAGACGGTTTACCTTCTGATGAAGGCATCAGTCTCTGTCAGGTTCTCTGTGCATGCTATAAAAAAACAACACATACATGAATAACCCACTTAGACTATAATTATAAAACAATAATGCTTTGACAAGTCTGGTTTTACAGCTTTTTTTTTTTTTTTTAAATATCTAACAAAAAATAACACTTTTTTTGCCAAAAATAAATAGGATGATTGAGCTTTTCAGGCTTTTGCTTCTTTGTTAAGCAGTACAACTACAGGTGCATGAATTGCACCACTGCTGCTGGTATGGGGTCAAGCAGCCATTGTTCTGTCAGCTTTAGAGTCCTCATTGCGCTCAATGGCTGGATGACAGGTGGCGAAAGATGGCAAAGAACAGAGGCCAAAAGTGACACCTCCATGTCCCACCCTACAGATATGTAGGTTAGACTCTGTGTGTGAAGGCAGCAGATCAGGGGTATTTAACAACTCTCTCTGACCAATCAGTAGTCTGCAGTGCTTTCACACCACCTTTTGGTATCGCCTCAGCTCGCGTGGAACCTTGACAAAGTTGAGGTCCTCACTGATATAAATTGTGTGAAGGCGAGAAATATTAGGCCGCCTCTCAGTATCACACAATATAAGTCAACAGCCCCAGAAACGCATAACTGACCATAAAACTGAATGAATACCTCTTTCAAAGATCTTTAACAAAAACTGAATATAACCTGCATGAAATTACCATTTATTCCAGGGCTGTTGGATTAAACTACATTGTAGCTAATTTACATACAATTCATATACTATAGGATCAAGACAAACCAATTTATAGCTGGGCTGTCTCGTCTTTCACACTCGATACCTTTCAGTTTTTACTCCACCCAATAAAAAGCACCTTTATAGTGTCTAAATGACAGGATGACAGCAAATATGGGAAAAATTACATCATGCCTAAATGACCCAGCAATAATCAAAAGAGTTTGAGTTGATGATTCATCTCAGTGTGTTTGAACTGAGTGTACTCTGGCCTCACTGGCAATAAAACCTGGTTTCTTCACAGATTTACATTGTTTCGCTTTTGCTTTGAAGACAATTCACATTATAACAGCACATAGGCTTTAATAATAGCATGTGACAAATTAAGGGGAAAAAACAATATCAAGTATCTTAGTAAGGTGTTGTGCCACCAGAACATATTCTAAAAGTCTCTGGACTCTACTGGAGGGATGAACACCATTATTCCAAATCATATTCCCCACTGTCTAACACGTAAGTCCAAAATCTCCCATATGTGTTAATTTGGATTGAGATCTGGTGACTGTGAAGGCCATAGCGTATGATTCACATGATTTTCATACTCATCAAACTGTTCAGTGACCCCTCGTGCCATATGGATGGGGGCAATGTCAATGTCATCCTTGAAGAGACCATTCCCATCAGGAACTGTTCCATCATTGGATAAGCGTGATCACTCAGAACAACTGTGCATTGATTTGCAGTGACCCTTCCCTTTAAGAAGACAAGTGGACGCAAACAATGTATCCATGTAAATAAATGTCTTAATGTCAAGCACTCACCCGCCCTGTCTGTTGCCGTTTTGCTGTCTTTGGCAACACTTCCTGGGAAGGCGAGACAAAGAGCAATTAGGCTAAGTTGTGGCATTAAGTCTTGGTGGAATGACATAAAAAACCTGCCACACATGTTATGCTAACTTAGTGACTGACTGAAGCGAAAGGTCACTTAAAGTAAAGGCGAAACATTTACAGTATGAAACAACATAGTGCGAAATTAAAAGGCATTGCATTTACTTGATAACTTTTAAAATGCCGTACAAAGGAGACAACAACTGGTATGTCGAGTTTTAATTAAAACATGTTTGTAAAGTTGTTACCTGCGCTGCTGTCTTCCGCAGTGTTAGACATGTTCACAGGTTGTCTCTCCCCGACTGACACCACTGGAAAATGAATTTGCTTCGTCAAGACAACACCAATGAGTCTGATTTAGCCCCTCCCCGAAATCTCATTGGCCGAATGAGACACACGGAGAACACGATTGGCTCTGACGTCTGTTTCTCAACGCTTAACAGTCAGTACTTCCGCCTTTGACACATTTTTTTTTCGCCTTTGCCACATTGCAACAGCTAATCATAAAAAATCAAAGTGCAGTGGTTTAATAGATCATAGTCAGTTGAAGGGAGATTAGAATGGGTGCCGAAGATAAGGAAAATGAAACATCTAATCCAGACAAGAGGAATTCTATAAATTTTGTACCTCATAGAATTAAATTTAATGTTTCACAGTCATACCGTCCATAGCATGAAAGATAATAAAAACAACAATTTACATTACATTACATAATTACAAATTAAGAGAGAATTAAATAAAGTTTTATTTCACATTTTGCCATTATTTCCTGAGAATATAAATTATAAATTATTTTAATCTGCTGATTTCTTTATATTATATTTTTATTATTTGTCAAATAATTGTTTAGTCTATGCCACAAATGTCTTGTTTTATCAAAATAGTTCAAGACCCAAAGATGTTCAGTTCACTGTGATAAGCTTTATGAGAAAAAAAAGTAGCAGATCCTTCACTAGCTAGCTACTTGCTCGAAAAAATTTGCTGATTATCAAAATAGTTGCCAATGATTTTTCTATCAATCAACTAATCAATTAATCACCAGAAAATGGGTGGTTGAATGGATGGACGGATCAACTAGGTAAACAATAACGAATTAATTTAAGGTCAGAGGTCTGGAACAATAGTATGTTCCAATGTGCAAGTCTAAATGTTTTTAAGACGTTTCAAGATCTGCAGATACCATGATTTCTCCCATACAATTAACTTCAACTATAAAAAAAAACCCTTTCTTCAGATATATCATGTTATGTGTGGGAAACAGAGCTTCTGTGGTAAAGTTTCTTCAAAAATGTCCATGATGACAATTGACACAGAATTATCAATAATTAATAATCAATATCATTTTTTGATGACAGTTCAATTTTTCTCCACAGTGTTCTCACCAGTCCATTTCCCTCCATATTATATTTCACAAATTTTACATAAGGAAAAACAAAATATATACAAAAACAAAACATATATTTCTTGAATTTGGTGCCAATTATAGGGGAAAATAAAGCTTCTGAAACTGTTAGTTTGTTGTGCTGAGTTTAAAAGCAGTTGCTGATTTCCAGAAGAATTCCCTTATTTATCTATCATTGACATAATATCGGAAATAATTTTTCATATATGTTCAATTGTATTCTTGTTGCCTAGAAACAAAATGCACATTGTAGTACTACACCCACTAAAATACTTCAGGTTGTACAGGCTTAGCATTACAGATTGGGTCCTTCCCAAGCATCCAAATTAATTGTCTACTCTAAAAACTGAAGTAATTTCACATTCACTTTTCTAAGAGAAGTATGACATTATCGAAACTCTGAAAGTCTGAAAGTAAAATGTATTGCTGGTGTCCTTCAGTGAATCTTGTATCTTGTACTGCTGAACCATCTCGTTCCTGTTGCAGTGTCACAGTTCCCCCTTCACTTCATACTGACACACACAGGACTCTTTCTGGCTGTCCAGGTACGGCTTACATCCCAAGTATTTAACCACCTCATGCAGCAGAGTCACCGCCGACTCACACACTGCTTAGATGGAAAGAAAGAACAAGAAGATGAACATTAGCAAACACACAACGGTGGAAAGGTGAGTTTGTTCAAAAACATGCACCTGCTCCCTACTCACTTTACAGCATAGATGAATGGAATTCAGCCATCATCATTCTTTTTTTATTTTATAAAGTTTTTCCTACTGTGACCTATCAAATATCTTCCATGGAAAAGGATTTTATGCTGCAGACAGAAAAAAATTGTAGCATTCAATTTATGGATGGATAAATGGATAGCAGGTACAGGAAGATCTGATGAAAGTTTGACTAACTTCAGACAGCCAAAGTGTTCCTGATAGCATAAAACTGTATGTTGATTTCTTGTATACTCACTGCAAAAACACCATAAAGATTAGTATGTAGTGTGGAATTGTAGCCTCTCACCTTGGACAGTCGTCTCCGATCCCAGAGGTTTGAGCTCCTTCCTGCACATGGTCATGAGACAGTGATGGAGCTCGTCATCGCAGTTGCGCTTCTTTTGGCCACAGGTGTCATAGCAACGATCGTGTTGGTTACAGCATTTGGTCATGGAAGGGATGCCTATGTCGAACTGGAAATAACAGCTCAGTAACTCTGAATGTTTGTAATAAGTGTGTTTTGGATTTGGGTCAGCAATAACTTGGTAAAATTATGTTTCAGAGATGACAAAAGGCATAGTGTGCTGTGACTGTTTTACTCACAGAAACATTTTTTTTTCATATTTTCTATAGATAATATCATGAATTCTTTTGGCCACAATTACTGTGGGGTTTTTTTTTTGTTTTGTTTTTTTGTTGAAATGAAATGCAAAAATCACCATTCCCACTAAAACATTGTGATCTGTCAAATCTCAATATGGCAATATGATTTTTCTTTTTTGTCCTACTTCACATCAGCCAATATTCAATTTTAATGTAAATATAAACATTTTTGATCCGATTCCCTTAAAAAGAATTGTGTTCAAGGATAGTACTGTGCAAAAGCTTCAGGCACTGTAGATGTTCAGATTCTTATTTATCATGCCATTCCACCAGAGAGGTGTCTGTTTGGTCCCAAATTCAATTTGCATTCATGACTCTGGCTGACACAAATATACAGCCAGACACAGAAGACAATGAGGCAACAAGATGCTCAGAACAACCTACCCACCAAGTACCTTGAAAAGCTGTGATGTGGTTTGTTTCTGTTTACCACACTTTGTATTAAGTTTATTGGTGTATTAAGTAACAGATAAATAAAAACTGTTCAAGCATTATTTTTTGATAGTATTCTCATTGTAAGTACCTTTGCACAGTATTGCATGTTCTGAGTGAAATCTCAAAAAACTTGTCATCGCTGGTTGGTGGACAAACTATGAAACATACTAATGGCATTCAGTTGACAGACATAACCGGATATCAATATCGAATGACAACCTACTATGTGTGTCACAGACACACAAGAAACCCCCAGATCCTGTCACACTACCTGAAATCCAAACAGTGGGGAGCCACATCCGTTGGGTGGTGGCTGCTTGTACCCAGGACGAGGCACCGGGTTGTTACCTGTGAGACAGGAGCAAAGGTGAAGACATTTCTTATTCTGCCACCCACAGTTATCTTGTTGATGTTGATAAATGTTCTAACTTACACGTGTTTCACAGATCAGTTGTTCACTTTAAGAAAGGTTTTTAAAATAAAAAAAAAGAAGCTATAGTTTACCGTCACTGCACCTATAATGACACAGCCTGTCATCGCCATCAAGAAAGATCTGTGCTGCATCCTGTAATGGTTCAATCATGTGTATGGTGTAACAAAAAGTTCTCAGAACCATCCTCCAGTCTGGACTCTTCTGCCCTTGTTTGGAGACAGTCATATGTGGGAAATATCCGCAAGAGAACAACCCCAACAGAAAGGGACAAAAGCACATGTGTGAATAATATCAGTGATGTTTGTACCATTAAGCCAGCATGCATGAAATCTGGGTCATGACACTCAAATAAAACACAACCACTACTAATGTTCTTAGTTACACCTGTGTTTCACAGATCAGTTGCTCACTTTGAAGGTTTTGTTAGAAGAAAGAAAGAAGGTAGTTTACCACCTACCTACGCCACTTAACACTTTGTACACTTTCCGCAGCCCATTAAGGAATGTGCGAATGTTGTGCTTTCTGTCACAAAGAGTTTTCACAGTCTTGCACCAGTCTGGACTCTCTTGCTCTTGTTTGGAGGCAGACATGTGGGAAAAATAAACCCAACAGAAAAACACAAACGCACAGGTGTGAATAATGTCAGTGATGTTTGGATGTACCAGTGAGCCAGCATGCATGATACCTGGGTCCTGACAATATTCTTAGTTACAGCTATGTTCCACAAATCAAGTTTTGAAAAGGAGGAGAAAGGTATTGAGAGAGCAAAAAAGCTTGTTTACCATTACTGTGCTTATTGCCACAAAACACGGACCACGCTGCCTCCAGTAACGATTCAATCTTTTGTATTTTGTCAAAAATACTTTTCATCCAGTTTGTACTCTCTGACTCTTGTTTGAATGCTGACACATGTTGGAAGAGAACGAACCCAACAGACACAAAAACACAGGTGTGAATAATATCAGCAATGTTTGGAAGTGAAAATAAGCAAATCAATTATTCACTTTAAGAAAATATTTAAAAGAAGAAAGGAAGAGGCTCGTTTACCATCACTATGCTTATCGCCAAAAAACCAATCCCACACATCCAGTAATGGTTCGTTGTTATGTATGACATTACAAATACTTTTCAGAGTCCTCATCCAGCCTGGAGTCTCTGGCTCTTGTTTGGAGGCAGCCACATGTGGTAAACATCCGCAGGAGCACAAAAACAGAACAACAAAGATAGGAAAGGGCATCTTCCATGTCATATCAGAGCCAGATAAGAGCGTTTCCCAGCAGGTAGGTTTTGGTTTCACTTCAGCCTTTTCATACTCACTCATAAGTCACGGGTTTACTGATCCGGTTGTAGCCCTTGTGTTTCTACTATTCTGTCCCATTCATAGCAATGAAGGTAGGCTTTACAATGTAAAGCAGCCCATCAGCACTACATCATCCAAAAATGATAATACAGCTGAATCAACAATTTTAAGAATATTAAAAATTGCAGGACTATTAGACTGCATTAGTCTTAGCTAGGAGTTCTTCGTTCTGCCAACCGGGTGTAATTGTAATTATCAGTTGCATGCACAGACTGCAAAGTGCCTGACTGAAATTAACTTGAGTACAATTTCCCAATATTCCTCCCAAACACACGCACACACCTGACCTAATTCTAACCCTCAAAATGCCATTTGAAGAAAGTGAGGACTTACTATATTGAACATCATCAACGAACATCATTGAACATCTTTACTCTGTTGGCTAGCAACGTAGCATTTTGTCTGTCGGCTGCCGCACTGGTGTTTCTACTATTTTTGTACTATTTAAAGCAATGAAGGTAGGGTAGATAACAGAAAGACATGTCTCTCACACACACACACACACACACAAAGCCCCTTACCCTACCCTAACCATCACAAATGAATGCCTAATCCTAACCTAAACCTAATCCTAACCCTAACTCTTAAATCAAGTTTTAAAAGCCCTCAAACAGCCCGTTTCTATTTGAAAAATTCCTTGAGATAACTTATGTTGTGAATTGGCACTATAAAAAATAAAAATGGACTTTTTTGGCCGTCACTATATAGGACCACTACTATTGTTATAGCATTTACAAGTACACACACACACACATTTATTTTTCTCAAAAGTATTTGAAAATTTATTTGCAGTGAAAAAAATACATACTCCACCGATTCCTCTTTTTGATAGTGCTCACATAATCCTGACAAATGTTTAAGTGCAGTGTTTTCTTGCGTGTGGTGTGTCCCAAACTCTGCCTTGTTAAGATGTCCTACTCTGCTCTTGTGCTGCTTTTAGCTGTGCCCACCTCTAGCTCTTCTTGTGTGAAAAAATGCACCTCACAACTTGTTTTAATCAAAATAACAGTTCAAAATCCCAAAATATTGTTCAGTGATATATGAAATGATAAATCTGGAACAATAGTAATGGGGATTTCTAGGTTATTTTCCTAAATTAACCATCATAAACATTTTACAACTTGAAAATTTTGTTGAGTTTTTCTCCACAGCGTTGTCACATTTACATAAACTGAGCTCACCAGTGCATTCCCCTCAATGTGATAAGTCTATGTAGGAAAGAAAATTGCTTTAGTGCCATTCTTTACTCAGATGTTCCTATTAGGTGCATGGGAGAAGGGACTGGGCAATAATGTTTTATTTTGCGGTCTGTTATTATAAATAATTTCTTGAAATCTTCCTGCAATAATAATTTCTTGCCAATTATAGCGAGAAATAAAGACAAAGTAAGTAAATAAAGAGTTAGTTTCTTGTGCTGAGTTTAAAAGCAGTTGCCTATTAGAAAAAAACTGCTTCATATACACCTAAGAAAATATTTATTTATCACTAATATATTACTGAAAATGTAATTTTTGTATTCCTGCTGCCTGTAGACAAAACGCTAAATGCACATGTTCAGCTGACCTGCTGTACACTGACTAAAATACACAGGCTTAGCTGTGGAAACCATTAACAACCTGTTTCTAGTCCATGGAAACAAGGTGTTAGCACATTACACAGTATTGACAAAATATAAATAATCAACTGCACAGGAAAGATATTAATTGTCCACTCTAAAAACTAAGGTAATTTCACATTCACTTGTCTAACAGAAGTGCAACACCTATCGACACTCTATCCCTGAGAAAATCTACAAGTCTGAAAGAAAAGTTTATTGCCAGTGTCCTTCTGTCACTGTTGTGCTTTTGAACCAGTCTGTTTTACAGTCTTGTTCCTGTTGCAGTGTCACAGTTCCCGCTTCACTTCATACTGACACACACAGGACTCTCTCTGGCTGTCCAGGTATGGCTTACATCCCATGTGCATAACAGCGTCAAACAGCAGAGTCACCGCCGACTCACAAGCTGCCAAGATGAAAAGAAAGAACCAGAGGAAGAACATGAGCAAACACACAACAGTGGAAAGGTGAGTTTGTTCAAAAACATGCACCTGCTACCTTCTCACTTTACAGCATACAGTTTTGATCAAATACAGATTTTATTGTAGATTACTACTACATTTAAAACTCAGGTTTATTAGACTGACTGTGATCCAGATAGCACGGATTAAGGTCATCCAGGTAACACAGATTGCAGTGTTTCAAATAAAGCTCTCTCCCACCCTCTGCTGGACATACTGTATGTTACAACTGTTACTGTTGGTCACCAACCAGCACAATGCACAAATAAAATAGAGCTGCTCACACCTGCAAAAAATAAATGTAATAGTGTATGGCAGGTGCAGAAATATCTCAACAAAGTTTGATAGTAGTTTGATTAACCTCACAGAGATCAAGTGTATCATTTCCTGATAGAATAAAACAGTTATGAATGTTAATTTCTTATATACTCAGTGCAAAAACATTATCATTAAGATTAGTGTGTTGTATGGAATTGGGTCATAGCAAGTGACTCAGCCTCTCACCTTGGACACTCTGGGCCAATCCCAGAGTTCTTTGCACGTTCCTGCAGATGGTCTCGAGACAGTCCTGGAACTCCTCATCGCAGTCGTGCTTCTCTCTGCCACAGGTGTCATAGCAGCGATCATGTTGGTTACAGCATTTGGTCATGGAAGGGATGCCTATGTCAAACTGGAAACAACATGTTTGTAATCAGTGTGTTTTGGATTTGACTCAGTGGTTAGTTGGTAAAAATATGTGTCAAAGACGACAAAAGGCATAGTACACTGACTTTTTTAGTCCCAGTAGGTTTAATACCATATATAGAATATAACTCAACATCACTCAAACACATGAAAAAAGCAGTAATATAAAAAAGGTAGCTATTTGTCTGTTTATTTTTGGTATTTTCTACTATAGTCTGACTGAAGATACTGAGGAGAAGTGGTGCTGTTTTAAAGGCAAATGGTGGTCACACAAAATATTGATTTAGATTTTTCCTGTTTACTGCACTTTGTATGAGGTTAACTGATAAATAAGAACTAGTCATGGCATTATCTTTGAAAGCCTCCTCACTTTACTTTTGGTGCCTAAAGCTTTTGCACAGTATTGCATGTTCTGAGTGAAATCTACGGCTGAAAGACTTGTCATCGCTGGTTGGTGGACAAACTATGAAACATACTAATGGCATTCAGTTGACAGACATAACCTGATATATCTGAAGCTAATATCAGCATGGCAGATTTGTTAGTTGGGCTCCATTTTTATAACCACATTGTCTCTTATTTTGTGGACTACATATGTTGTGTAGTGTGTACACATCATTTGCGAAAAAAAAAAAGCTAAAGCTATCAGCTGGAATGACAACCCACTTTGTGTGGCACAGGCACACAAGAAACCCACAAACTTTTGTCACACTACCTGGAATCCAAACAGTGGGGAGCCACAACCGTTGGGTGGTGGCTGCTTGTACCCAGGACGAGGCACCGGCTTATAACCTGTGAGACAGGAGCAAAGGTGAAGATGTTTCTTGTTCTGCCACCGACAGTTATCTTGTTGTCAGAGATAAACACATCAGTACAGACCGTTTAATGGCTTACTGTGCCACCCGGGGGGGCGGGGTAATGTATAATGTATAATGTATGGTATAGCTCCCAACAGCGGCATAAACTCAACATATTACAACATAATACTATATTACTCTCAATACGTTTGTCTCTTACTAATGATCCATAGCCCTATGATATTGACTAGACAGAACAGGCAAAAGCACAGTTGAGATGTGTCAGTAAATCAGCATGCATGATACTTGGGTCCGGACACTAAAATAAAACACAGCCACTGTTAGTGTTCTTCGATGCACCTGTAGTTCGCAAGATCAGTTGTTCACTTTGAGAAAAGTTTTAAAGTTTTAGGACGTAAAAAGTTAGTTGGTTTACCATCACTGCACCTATAATGACACAGCCCGTCATCGCCCCCAAACAAGTCCAGTGCTGCGTTCAGGTACGTGTCAATCTTGTGTATTCCGTTACGAATAGTTTTCAGAGTCATCCTCCAGTCTGGAGTCTCTGGCTCTTGTTTGTAGGCAGACACATGTGGGAAACATCCGCAGGAGAACGAAGCCAACAGAAAAACACAGGTGTAGCTGTGGTAGAGCATAATCCACCTCACGTCAGGGCCGTTTCCCGGCACGTCGGTTTTAATTTTGGATGATTTTATTCCTCAAGATGTCGTCTGGATGGCATCTCAGGTTTCACTTCAGCTTGTTTTCATTTCATGTCCAAGGCTCCTAGGAGGTACGATTTTAGACAGCTGCAGCAGTGGTCGTCGTTTCCGGGTTTGACGCTGTCATGTGACCGCTGATAAACCAATGGAGATGATGCAACGTCAGTAAATAAAAATACAAGTCTGGGAATCACTTTGAGAACATTAATTGGGAATTGATTTGGAGTTACTATAACAAATGTTCTGTCTTACTCCTGCGTACTCTGTAATAATGGCACAGAAACAAATTAACATTTATTTTATGAATTGATTTATGTTAAATTCATCTGGGTTGATGTTGAACATGTATATGTGTTATGTACAAAAAGATATTAATTTGAGACTAATGATGTGGATAGAAGTCATGCTGTTATTGTAAATTTTCTCATTCTATATGATGCATTTTACATCCATAAATGCAACTGGTCTGAAAGGAAATCCAATTTCAATATATGTTATATATTATACTCATAATATAACCCAATAGTCACCAGTTCAAGCATGAAATTAAAGTGTACTTTGAAACACTGAAAGGAATACTACTATAACTAAAACCCTTTCCTTTCTTGTCGTTATTAATTGCATTCCACATGTTTTTGTATCCTTTTATGATCATTGAATATCTTTTTTTTTCAAAGCAAATCTATTTTAAATATTGATTTTAGTGTTGTACAAAAACAATATTTCAGGTCATTTTAATTTCTCAATTAATCACCTTGTCTATAAAATGTTAGAAAATAGTAATTTCCCAAATATATTCAGTTTACAATCAGATATTACAAAGAAAAACATCAAACCCTCACATCTGAAAGCTGTAACCAGCAAATTTTATAAATATTGCTGGAAGAATGACTACAATTATTACTCAATTATCAAAACAGTTGCAGATTAATATTCTGTAGATCAACTAATTGATTGGCTAATCGCTGCAGCTCCATTTTGTACCAAAGAAATATCCTCAGCTGATTTAGGCAGCTACAGAAATTTAAGGAACAAGTTTAAAAACATGGACAAATAAAAGCAAAACTGTTTCCACGGATTCATACCACTTGACATAGGTGAAAAAAATGTTTATTTTTTTGTAATTTGATTGAACCAAGTCTTTAACATCTGACTCAGAGAAACAAATACATCCAGTCTATGGTAATAATTTTACTTTATTTAAATGATTAGGCGAGCATTGAAGAAAAACCTTTTCTTCTATAGTTACTTAAATAACTGCATAATTTTCAAACATTCCAAAATGAAAATGTACAACCATTAATGAATGACAGTTTCAGTGTCCTTCCATGTTAAGTCCCAACCACCTTCACATTCTGAAGTGGACAACATAAAAATGTTCTCTAGTGGCAAAACTCTTTATGATTCACTGGTCTTCATCCGCACTTGGAGTTGAGTAGGAAGCTAAAAGAAGCATTGCGTGTTCTTTGTCTTCTTCTTTGCGTTCTGTGTTCTTCAAAAAAAAAAAAAAGAAAAAAAAAGAAAAAAGGATTTGGCTGGAGGACAGCTTATATTCATGTCAAGCATGTCATCAAGCTTTTTGATGACAAAAGCTGTTGGTTGATCTTAAGAGAGTGATTTTCTTATGCAGAATGCCTCTCACTACTCGAAGCACATGCCTTTACACAATCAAGTGTCCTTGTCCTTGTTTCCAGGAAAAAAACACAAGAAAAGCAGAGTAAACAAAAGAAAATGTCTGGGGCTTTCTACAGTGTGTGTAGATTGGTTTATAAAGTTGTAACAAGGCGATTCCTGGGGTCAGGCTGGAGTGAGGAAGAAGAGAAGTTGGTGGAGGGATACGAGGAGAGGGACATTTTAAAACCTCAACAATAGAGCTATATTATTTCATTAAGTTTTTGCTCCTAGTGTAAAGACTCTTCCTTAAAAAAACATGAACATACACATCTATTAATATACATTTACATAATCTAAAAGCGTCCAACTCATCCGCCTCTGAACAGGTTATTTAGTCTGTCCAGCTCCCGGCAGTTATCCATGGTCATGAGCTCGGCCTTCTTGCGCATTCGGTCGTCTCTGTATACCTTAGCGGCATACAGCAGGTCTGTTTCTGGATGAGACAAGCAGGAACACAATGTGAGTGATTAAACAAGAGAGTGCTGATAAAAAAAGTGAACAGCAGATACGATTACTGAATTCAGTAAGCTAGTTCTGAGGGTGTATTTAACCACTCACTTGTCTGTCTCTCCTTCCAGCAGTTATTTCTGACATTTGCTACATAGTCCTCCTCCACATTTTTCTCAATCTGCTGCAGCGCAGAGCCCTTATACTCTGACTTGAAGTCTCTAGTGACGTAATAGTCGACACGCAGGTTTTCTGTCTGCCGTTTTACGGTCTGACCCGTGGACCTGGAAGAGATGGGGGAGGTATAAGCTGTGAAATTCTGACAACTCTGACAACTCTGACAACTGTAGTAATCTTCCACATGTTGAATCCTGATGGTATTTTATTGTATCTTTATGTCTGTTTTGTAAATTGCAGATCACATTTTCTGGAAAGAACTGAGAAAACAGTGGTTAATATATCCAGTATATATAGTGAACACAAATGTGAAAGAAGCACTACATTAAGATGAGATAACAACACCGTATGACACAAAGTTTACAGATGTTTTTCAGATGGCTCTGCTTGTACAAAAGACAAAATACTGTGTCAGCTTTGACAGGTAAACCAATCATGAAATTAGAAGTAATCAGCACTAAAGATCTGAGAGGTGAAGAAGTGAATGCTGCGTATACGTTTTGTGATTAGCTGTGTGTGCACTTACGGTCTAGAGTAGAGGCTGTAAGGTGGAGGGGAAACCATCATCTGGCTCAGTATTGACACTAAAATCAGGACCACGATGGGCATCAGCTGGATAAACATTGAGAAACCACCCTAGAGACAAACACAGTACAACAACTCAAGCAATAAATTGTGCAATTAACACATGTAGCATTGATGTGTATCAACTAAAACTGTAATATTACACGAGCAAATAATGTTAAATTCATGTGTCTTCAAAAAATTCAAGACACAAAGTCTGAACCCATTTACATACATCTCCTCTTTCTTCTGTTCTCTCTTGGCGATAATCTGTCTGATGGCTGTAACTCGTCCTGCCGTTGTTAAAAGTGTGTGCACTTGCTGTAGGTGGAAATAGTGTGAGGTCAAATTCAAAAGGTATGGAATATGTCAAGTACATGTTCATACATACATACATACATACATACAGTACATACTGCTCTACATTATGAGGAAAATCGGGTCAGATGTGTAATTAGAGTAAACAAAAGTGCACCCAGTATCCCAACAAAGAAAAGAGCTATAAGTCTGACTTTAAAAACATACTAATTTCCAGAACCAACTTTAGCATATTGCTGAGAGCACTTGTCTAGAGGTACTATATCCTGTTGGTCACAAATTAAGCTCTAAAGAGAGCCAAATTCAGGTGCATTTGGCATCTGTGGATTTCTTCTATCACATGAGGAAGTCCATTGAATCTTCCAAATGTGTGTGAGTGCTGTGATTGAACCAATAAAAGTGCAAAAGAAATCCAGAGATACTAATTTGAAAACATGGCATCACAAGAATAGATGATTAGATTCCTCAAAGACAAAATATTTATATATTACAAGGCAGTATGGTCATAAGTAAGCTTAAATAAGTAATAGATAAGTGGAAAATTATGTAAACTCATCAGTAGCAATGGCCTTTGTGTCTGTCTGAATCTATATGCACGTAAGTGCTCACTTACAGGAGGGGAAGCCGCCTCCAAAGAACATGTTGAAGAGGTCCTCAGGAGTGATGTCAGCTTCAAAGCCCCTGTGGAAGTCAAAGCCTCCTCCGTGTGAGTGACCGGGGGTGCTTAGCTCCTCCGATCCCGTCACGTCATACTGCCGTCTTTTGTCTGGGTTGCTCAGCACTGCATATGCATTACCAATCTCTGGAGAAGGAAATAGTCAGGATATCAATGATTAGATATTCAACGGCTTGGGTCACATGTTTTATTGACAAAGTTTTGAAACAACTGCTGTTTTGTGTAGTCCCACTGGATTCGCAGGCGATTGTAAAAACTTCTCAAGTTAAAAACAACAAACAAGCTGATATATTTTCAATATCACATGTTTACAATACATAAGCACCAAATTATAAAAAGGAGCAAACTTACTTTTAAAGGCCTCTGTTGCTCCAGGTGCATGATTTTTGTCAGGATGGAACTTGAGCGCTAGTTTCCTGTAGGCTTTCTTGAGCTCATCCTCATTGGCTTCTTTACTGACACCCAGCACTTCATAGTAGTCCTTACACCGCTTTATCCTGGAGGAGAGGGACAGAAGGTGAAAAAAATGTACTGTGGAATATACTCGAAAGGCAGGTCATGTCTCTGCCCTTAGTGCTGGTTTCTTTTTCACTTTTTGACCAATAGCGGATGGATGGTTAGATTGCAACTGAAAGTGACATGTTGATGGTTTTTGCCTTAGTCACACAGGTGAGTGACATTGAAGGTCACTGTTAAAGCGCATTAGAGGAAAATAGTTCAGACTTACCAAACTTTTGATATCACAGCAGCTCGTTTTATATCCTCTGTGATTTTCTAATTTGATTTTAATTCCAACACCTGACATTATACAAAGGAAAAACAGAAGATCCCTATAGATGAGTAGCCCGTTTACAAATACTTGAAGATGCACGTGCAGGTGGAAATTTGTTATCAAACCAAACTACACATCTGTCAGCTCTGGCAAGCTAACATGACACATATTCAAGTGAAAAAACAAGAGCTTTGAGCAAAAATAATTCTAAACTAGGCTATACAAAAGGTCACCTCAGGTAGAGAGGAATAAAATCTAAATTTTTAAAACTTTTACATATGAATGACACGTATACTTTATCAATTATGGATGCAAGATTAGAGCAGACACTGGCTGGGCATTAGGGCCAGGCTAAGTGATTGAAATCAATATTACAAAATGAATATCAATATTTTTCAGATATCAATATGCATCACAAAATAGCAAATGTATGAAAAATCAAATATAGAATAAACAAATTGATGCTCAATTAAATAAACTGTGTTCAGCTCTTATGCAGACATCAGACATAATAATCCATTTTGTTAGATTTTGATTACAACTTGCTGGAAATCATTGAATTGGACAACTAAATTAAGCAATAATATAACCATATGATCAAATCATCATGATATACTAAAAGTCAATAATACTGAGTTATTACCGATCTTGACTCATGACTGGAATAGGACTGATGAGGTAAACACAGTACACAGCCAATCTTACTTTGTCTTAGAAGACATGATGCAATTTTTAACTAACTGACACTTCCTCAAAGGATTTAGTCTAAAAACACCAGGGTAAAGGATGACTGACTAAAATTAGAGCATGTAGTGGTTACCTGGTATCTAATTCACACCGCTACATGTCTCTCACTCTCCCCTCATGGGCAACAGATCAAGCTGAAGAGGTTCCCATAGCAATGTCTGTGTGCACAACACTGCAGAGACTACAGTGTCGTGCTTCAGCCGCAGATGAAAAGTCAGATTAAGTGTGATAGAAACAATGCTACTGCCACAGGGCCAATTGTAAGAAAGCACCAAAATGGTCGACTGAAGAGGGAAGGTTACAGTACCAACTATTGGAAAAAGAAATACAACAATAAAAGGGGAGACCTAGTGAACGCTTAAATTCTCACCTTTGCACACCTTCAACCTGGTCTTTGGTGAAGCCTTTAGAAACATCACCTCCACCAGAATCTTGGCTTTCCCTTTCTGGCTGGGCACCAGAGCTTTCTGAGCTTTCTGCTGGTCTCCTTCGATATGCGCCATTTCCTGTTGAGCTCCCATTCTTCGTTAATGCATCCAACAAAGCTGAAGACGCAGGAGGGAAGAAGTCATAAGCTAAAAGATCTATTAAATGACAAATCATCCTCTTCAGTGTCTTCTATGTGTTCAACTTTTTAACAGCTTCCTGAAGTGAAACCTGTCACATAAATATATGCACGAGAAAAGCTTTAAAATTGCAGCAACAAGACTTGAAGAGCAAATGATCTGATGAGTGATTTCACACAATGTAAATCTGCCACACACTAACTCACAATGAACATTGGCGTCCTTGCCATGGAAAGAGCTGAACACCTGTCAATTACAGGTACAGACTCATGGTAGCAAGTGAGTCCTTTGATGCCACAGGCCACTTTGGTGGGTGATGTTTAAGAATCTAAAAATCATTCATGTACAGTTAAAAAGATTTTCAAGCATATTTCCAAATTGTAAAGTACACTTTTACCTGATGAGATCTAGCTAGAACATTCAGACTTTAAAATCTCTTCATTTAAGACTTAGTCAATAAAAGAAAAAGTCCACATTTGGGCCAAGAAAACAGCCAACAGAATCTAATTTGGAACATTGGCAAAACTATAATGAAGCACTGGCTGCAGTCACCCGGTGAAGAAGGTTGTGAGTGCACAGTGGGAGAAGACATGACTTGCAAGTACATCAAACCAAGAAATCACACAGTCAAAGTCTAAACTCAACATCAGCCATCAGTTCCAGGTGACTGTACTGAGGGACAGGGAACGAAAGATGATATTTTTCAGCGGGTCAACCTGTGCAGCCTGCAGTAACTGAGGCTAAACGTAAACCTCCTTGACCTCTTTTTGGTCACCCGTCTTTCCTCCTTTACACATGACAAATTTGATTTCATGTACATTTTCATTTCATTACTGCCATGTTGGGTTTTACACATACGTTACAGCAAATCATGCATCGTCCCCAACATGATGTGACTGTACAGCAGCGTATTGCCAGAGGGCCTTAATGAACTGAGATTTGTGGGTTAACAAGTTAATGCTGCAAAATCAACCACACCATTTTATTTACAGACCCAGTTTTTCAAATATCAGCTAACTCCAATTCCTAACCAGGAGGTGGCTGGTTGACCATTACCAAGCTGTCAATGATAAACAAAGTTACTGTTGCACAATTCACTGACGACAACTAGTATAATCTAGACTAATGCACTATTCAACTACAGCCCAACAAAGGACACAGTGCAGACAATCATTGAGCTGATGATTGTATAAAGACAAAATATGTCCACTGTGCCATATTGACAGGTAGTGAGGACTTTAAATTCACATTCACTTAAAATTTGTCCCTTGTATCTTATTTACATTGTATCTATGTCACAGAGGCTATTATCTCTGGTTTGGCAGCAGAAATGCCTTTAACTCACATAATGTGCTGAATACTTTATCAATGCATTATTCATTGTTATACACTTTATTCTCATGAAATATAAGTGCACAACTATTTCCTCTTACACAACCATAATCCTCCTTTCCCATCGCCCTTGAGGCAACTTAACATTTTGAAAAAGTCAACAGTGTAAGGTTTACTGTATATTTCAACTATTTCTATCATTCTGCTCTGTATTCCAGTGGTATACATTCGACAGTTTTTGCATGCTGAATCTTACATTTTTGCAGGTGCAACCCCCCGATTTGCCCCCCCCCCCTCCCCCCGTGAACAACAGTTTAATCTTGTATCAAATACACTTCTCTTGATGCTGTATATTGATGAATTATTGACTGTCTTCCCTCTTTAATGTGAGCACGTCCACTGCAGAATGTAAAATTCTGAGTTAACAGAGCCAGTTGGTAACCATGAAGTGCAAGTGTTTTGTGTTCTTAACTGCCTCGAGGAATGCCGATGTGCAGGTGCCTGCTTCTCCTGTCAACCCCTCATGAAGGATTGCAACACCAGTGGATGTAGCACACTACCTTGTCGCCCCCAGCCAGACCTATTCACATATTGCATTTGCGCAGTTCCAGTGCACATGTAAAACCTCTCTCTGTCAGTTAGGCAGCAATCTTGTCAAGCCTTCTGCATGAATGGGAAAGCATCCCACACCAGCAGATTCAGAGAGTCACTGGCTTTAATAGGTAGCAGTGTAAAGGCAGCCATGGCTGCAAAGGTAATATGAACTACTAAAGGAATGTAATGTTCAATTCTTTTTTTCATATTATTCAATTAAAATCTGAATTATATCAATAGCAGGATATGTTCTTCAATATAAAAAGCTAATAGCATTGTCACTCACAAGGTTATTTTTCTGTTATATTGTCAGTCTGTCTATTAGCAAGATATCTGAACAGTTATGAGCAGTTACAAACTCCCTCCACTGTTTCATACCAGCAAACCAAGCAATCAAGATTGTGAACTCTAATCTAGCCAGGGCATCAATCTAGTGAACCCAACACGCACCCCTAACTCACCTGCTCCCTTCAATACGCACTCAATGTACATTTCTTTGTAAAACATCTATACTCCTCAGGCAGTACAGCCTTGCCACCTAGTTTAACACCTTTTGTTTATGTCTTCTCTTTTGCATAATACCCTTTCATATGGTACATATTTATTGCACAGTCTTTCAGTGTACATCACTTATCACTTTACATTTCAGCATACATCCTGCAGTGTGCATGTATACTTGAGTTCCTTGAATATTTGCTCAAAAATCTGAAAACTGAGCTTTCTGAGCTGCAGATTGGTGGCCATGTGTGTGCTCTTACATGCCACTTAGTTTTTCAAGGTCCAGCCTTGGCAAGACAGTTATCTACTAGCTCCGTGTGGGCAGCTTGGGGACTGTCATTAGTGCTTACACAGACAGACAGACACACAAACACACCTGAATGAACACACACACACACAGTTAAAACTGAGGGTGCAAGCAAATATTATGCAGACACAGAACAACATTGTGCATCTCAATACTTTCCATTTCAACTGGCAAGTTACAATTTAACAACTGAGGAGCTATAGGTCAGTCACAATATTGTATATTTAAGATCCTATTAGAGCTACAATCCACAACACCCGTCAGCCTTACTACACACCCGTTTACTGTCCTCCCAGAGACAGTTGTGTCCTGGATTAGCCCATACTTCGAGGCTCTCTCCGGGTCGATCATTCAATTAAAGGATTGGCACTTAGCTCTGTGGCCTGGACAACATGAACTGCTCGCCCTACATCCATCCCCAAGCTCCACTTGTGTGCTCTGTCCTCACCGAAATCCCGACAAAATACACAGCTTTTACACAGCAGCATTAATAACGCAGGCTGTTTTTTTGAGTTAAGAGTACAATTAAATCTCTTCAAAGGTCAACTAATCTTTAAGACGCTAAACCGAGCGACAGCTAGCGTTAACACTGCTCGATTGTGGATTGATGTTTCGTTTTACAAGTGGTGTAGTTAGTTTGTGTTAGCTGCTAATATTATGAAGCCTCCCCGTGCTTCACTATTGGCAATCTTCAACGACTTATTAGCTTAACTTCACCTTTTAAAAACCTGAATGTACAGAGAGCGAAGCGCAAGCTAGGTTAGCCAACACAACGCTAGGCCTTCCACTGAGCTAACTCGGATGTTGCTTTATTTCCTGTCTCTAAACCAAGTTTAACTCTTGACTAACATTACCTTATGACACACCTATTTGTAACCACTGGTCAACTGGTGACATGCTGTGAGCTTAAACCGTGAGGTATGTTAACAAACATCAGTTACATGCTAACACCTGGTAATTTAAAGTACATACGGAGCTGTGCTGGGCTAGCTCTGTCCGGCTAAACAACTACAAACGGTGTTACCTTTGGCTCTGTCAGTTGGGTACAGCTTCTCTGCTTTGTTGAGAAACTTCACCGCTTTCTCCTTGTCTCCGGCTTCTAGGGCTTTTGTCGCTATATTTATACATTTTTCAGCTTCGTCTCTGTTCCCTTCCATCTTCTTTCCCCTTCCTCTCCCGGCAGAGTCAGCTGATCAGCTCTCGCATACCACGTGGTCACCAGCACTGACAGCAGTCTCGGAGAAACACCTTAATAATAATTACAATGGACTGTGCACCGTGTTTCTTCAAAGGCAGTCTATCTCACTGTGTGTGTTTATTTTCAATAAGTGGGGAAAAAGATGCACGTTAAATGGTCAGTAGTGGAAGATTTAGATTTCCTTCACTGAAGATAAATTACCAGTACTAATAAAAAATATTTAAGTATATACAGGTAAAAATCCTACTTAAGTAAAAGTGCAGGGCTATCAGTAAAATTTATTTAAAGCATGGCTTTTACTCTTCTGAGTCTTTGAGAAATACTGGACAATTTTACCCCTTTGGGTGTCACTCTGTTATTTAAATTAAACAATTTTAAAAGTTCCTTTTAAATGTGTCACAACTGAGAAATATGCTTCTACTACTATCCCTGTATTTATTTGTATATTTCTCATATACACAGATGAATTTTGAATCAAGGCTTGTATAGAACTTTTTGAAGAAAATTAATTTATCACACAGTACTGATAAGCCCTTCGAGAAAGAGTTTAGTTCAGTGATTAAATGTCCTGAAAAAAACTCTCAAATACCTTATATTTCATGTCACCATTAAGTACAGGACATAAGTTTATCCAGAAGATTTATTCAGTTAATAATATTTACCAAAGCAGAGCAATTCATACAGTACATGATGAAGAAAATGAACAAGTATTTACAAGAAGATGGTTCAAACTGCACTTGGACATTAGATCTTATAAAAAATATCAGCATCCTTAAAATGTTGAAATCAGATTAATCTCATGGAAAAAAAAACAACAACAAAAAAAACAAAAAAACAGCAAAACAAGTTAAATAATCTCAAACTTTGAATTACCATCTATAACCCTTTTCAGTTTCTGTTGTTCTGGTGCTGACAAGTTCTAGTGTAATTCACTGGAAATAAAGTCATCTTAAGGCAGTTCATACAAGTTCACCACCCGAGGCCAGGTTCTTGCTCTCAATGAGATTTTGGACCAGGCAAACAGGGTTGAGAGACGACGTGTCAGGTTTTTACCCTCTTCTTTGTCAGGTTTCCTGCCATGGCTTCCTTTAAGCCGGTGTACGTGAAGGCGGAAGTTTGGCTGAAAAGGAGCCCATGGTGTTGAGCGCTGCATGGATGCGAAAGTGTAGCCTAGACTCCATGCTGTAGTCTTTGTAGTTCATCCTACAAATGAGATCACTTTTTAGCACCTTGTGTAATATGTTAGAACAGATGCTTCTAGAAATAGCTAGTAGCCTCTACTTTGCAATCCATGTTTGCACATTATTTTCCCTTCACAGGACTCCCCAGCAAAAACAACATTCACTACAATGGCAAGGGATCAACTCAAGGTGAAATCTAAACAGCAATAAAAGGAAGTGCTGGTGCTATGATAAACAATGCAATACAAACGCTTTAGGGATTTTTCCACTTTTGCATCAACTGTTCAGTGTAGGTTGTTGCTGTACATGAATACACATAATAATAATTTAGGTAGGATTCACAGCTATAAAGCGTCCAACCTGTGAAATAATCTTGTAGTGACTTGTGGGATACACTTAATGTTGGAAGCAAATATCGTATAATTATTTCTGTAAGGGACACAGCTTTCTTTGCCTAAGAAACTTAAATTCAGTTCCAGGTTATGAGCAGTTATATTTCGTCATTTTGGGAATTTCAGCCTTGATTTTAAGCGAAGACAACATCCAGAAGCTAACTTATAAATACAAACATGGATTGGCTGAAAACACTTACTTTGCATTTTCAATCACTGTGATGGCCGTGTTGATGTCGCCTTTCTGCTTGTGCAAAAGGCCCAGCTCATACATGGTAAAAGGCACCAGATAGTTTTCATGCTTGAGATCATTTTCACTGCAAAATAAATGAATACAATGGAAATCAATTCAGTGGGTCTATTCAGTAGTGTTCGGAAAATGACACTAAATTTATCTTCAAACTTTAGAAACACTAATTTGACAAGCTCTTGGAAAAGAAATGGTTCTATTGAAATTCCCATCCTGATAAGACTATGAACACACTATTATAAAAGTGAATTTTCTGATGCCAACTGAGTTCTTGAGTGATCAAATTCTCTTCAGGGCTGTGCGTTAAGATGACCTCACCTTGAAATGACGTTGTTGAAGCAGAGCTCAGCCTGGACCAGACGGCCCAACTGTCTTAGACACAAGCCCTTTAGCAGCAGGACAACACACTGGTCATCCAGGTGATACTCTGATGGGTCTACACGTTAAACAAAATGCTTGTTAGTTTCACTTTGTAATAGATTTTTTAGTTACCAAAGTTACCAAAGTGTTTATTAAAGGTCTGTTGTTCCTCTCACTTCGATCGTTTCTGAGCTGCTCCTCTGCTTTTTCCAAGGTGGTCAAGATGCTTCGAGTCAGCTCAGGTCTTTTGCCAACTACTGTGAAGCCGTTCCACACATACATCATTTCCTGTGACAAAAAGATGAGTTGTTTAAAATGGTCTAATGATTTTTTTAATTCACTGAAAGTAAAGAGCGTGCACATGCTCTCACCAAGGCAGGGACGACCAATTTCACAGGGTTAGCGGAAGAGTATCGCTGGGCCTTCCTTGCTGCAAACTTCTCAGTCGGAATCGATTTCCCAGCAATTCTCAATCTGAGTCCTTCCACCTGCCTAAAGACCACAAGTTCTCAAGTTATTGCATTAATAAATACACTACCCAATTGTAGTGATAAATTATTGTCCTCTCCCTTGCACACCTGAATAATTCCACCACATTTTCTCCCAGTTTAGTCACTTCTTCCTCTGGGAGCATGCTCAAGATGGCAGCTTTCTGGAATACATAGATAGCCTACGAGAAAGGAGCAAACATCTTGTTATAAAGGGGGAAAAACAGAAATACAGAAGGTACATCAGGTAATTTGACCACAAGGCAAAAAGGAGAAAGGGTTACATTAGATACCTGGGACCACTTGCTCTCCTTGCAGAGAAGGTCAGCGTATCGATAAGCCTCCTTCCAGTTTTGTTCGAAGGAGTACGCCCACATCAGCTCCCAGTAACACAGGTGGTGAATCTGACGCCACTCTTGCTGTGCTGCGATACATGCCAGGAACTTCTCCTGAGCCTGCACAGAAGCTCAAACTCAGTTCTCTTTCACTGCAACAACATGAGCTAAGACACATTCACGAGACATTATCAGTACTCACAAATGTGAAGTTTCCTTTGAGCAAAGCAATCCTTGCAATGTAGAAAAGAATGAGGGCTCCCTATGGACAAAATACAAATACATTAATACAAAATAATGCAATTTCACTGAGTGAGGCAATAAAATACAACATCTGCCATCATTCAGAATCAGCAAAACAAACTGCTCACGTTAGGGAACTTTTCAATGTAGGGTTCAAGCAGAGCTTCAGCCTCAGTAAGGTTTGCTTCACCAGTACCTAAGGGAAGAATAAGAGAGCATTGAAATCATTGCAGACCATTAAAACATCCCAATTAATGAATTAGGCATTTAAATCTGTAAGAAACTGCAGTCCCGCCCTACAGCGTGCTCACCGAGTATCACTGTGATGTAGAGATGAAACATCATCAGAGTCAGGGTGCTGAGGATAGAGCGCAGGCTGTTGCCGGCTGCTCCCTGTCTCAGTTCTGACAAACCCAACTCCTGTGAGGTAATTAGCAAATGATTATTTGATCTGACATTAAAAACCTTTACTTTTAAAACACCATTACTGAATTATGACAAGAAATGGGTTCAGGAGACCTACCCTGTCTCCTGAGAAACCCAAAAACTCCATCAGTCTGAGGACTCTGGACGGAAGCAGGGACAGCATCTGATAACAAAAAAAGGGATACAATTTAACACAGGATTACTATAGCAGTGCAAAAATGGAGTTTAAATGTTCTATCACACTGCAAATTAACAGTGAGTATTCATTTGTCCTTAAAATAATCCACTGACAAATGACCTAGCTTTAGTATTACATGCTTTCTATAGCTCTCACCAGATTAAATGATCCAATGCCCATGTTGACACCTCCCCTAAAATGAATGTGCGTACTCTTCTGTTTTTCTGGGTCTTCGGTGGCAGCTGCCATGGCCTGGCAATCCCTGGTTGGAGAGATGACATTTTAAATGCACTAGAATTCACATCAATATGATAATGTTTTCTCCATTTTTTCCATCATCTTTCAAGCATCATTCCCCCACAACAGAAGTCCCCGCCAAGCTACTCACTTGTAAATCTGATAACTGTTTCGGATTCTCATCCCTCCTTTGATGAAGCCGATTATACTCTCATCCAGGAAGGTGAGAGCCGCCTTCTGCAGCAGAACCTCAGCATAGCACAGCTCTGCGTGCATCTCTTCTGTAAACGGAAATTAATGCCACAGGGTGGGTTGAAAGCAAAGAATACAACATTGCTTTAGGAATAAAGAAATGAGCAAAGGAGATTATTGGTGAAAAGTATTCAGAGGAAATTATCAGCAGAGAGGTCGTGTTGACATCAAGCAGCAACACACTGTGTTAAAGACACCGCACTTGTCACTAATTAATATTATAGGCCACAACAAATTGCATTTTCTTGTAATGTCAAAAAAAAAAAATTAGCACATTTATGCCATGTATGTACATGTACATATTTGCTTATCGTGCTTTTTTCCCTATTCATCAATGACAGGCATCCAGATCTTGGATCTTATATCTGATCATTTACAAGTCCATTTGCTACTCAAATTCTTTTGAGCCTCCTGTGAGTCAACATATCAAGTGTATATATAAATGTATATTCTCTAAGGAGTACAGTCAGAAGATACAGTAGTTCATCACTCACCCTCTGTCAGACTGTCAGCTGGTTGTCTATACCACAGGCTGGTCAGAGTCTCCACTATTCCAGTTTTCTTCCGAAATCTTGTGACGTTAAAGAACACACAGTGGATGGTGGCAAGTTAACAGACCATGTGAGATGTAACAGGACAGAGTCTCTATTCTCTAGAGCAAATGATCTGTGAATTCAACTGTTTTTCATGTATGACTAATTTTCTAACTTTAGAAATCCCTGTGCTGTCCCAATGTAGAATTATGAACTTTATGGAAATACAAGTACATAAACTTGACTCTTTTTTTTTTGCGATCGTTGAACTATTTCACCATACCTCTGACATGTCTGCAGGGATTCTCTCAATGACGTCATGGCAGCGTCCATGTCCTTTGGTTCAAAGGTCATGCCTGCCTGCATCACCAAGATGCTGCTATAGCCCATTGCGTGGTACATGCTCTGACTCTTCCTGAGGGGGACAAATGCAATGATTGTTGATCATTTAATATTCCAAGTGGTAAAGTACGAAACAATTACAAAAGTAATCAAACGCTTTTAACTAACAATGAGAGTAGTACCAGCAGTGTGAAACAGCTGAATATACACATCCAAAGTCAGCTGGAGTTTGTTATGAGTGTCGGTACTAACCAGGGTTTTAGAAAAGCCAGGGCATCGGCGAACCTGTTGTTCAGAAAAAGTTCGAGGGCAGTGTTGCATTCCCTCAGTGCAGTCTCCAGATCCATTTTAGAGGATCTGGATGAAAGATTGGCAAATTAATGTTAGGCAGCTACATCCCAACAGACATATGTGAATCCGACAGCAGGTCATGCATAAGCATTTGGGAGTACAGAATCATCACAAATGTCACTATGAAAAAACTTCAGCCTTCACTTATTTTCATTGTATTTCTGTGTAAACATGTGTATTAGTGGATTAAACTGAGTTGGGTCAATGCAGATTTGAGGACAGGTTAAGGAGCAAGGTATCACTAACATATCTCTACTGGCCTCTAGTGTGTGTGTGCTGCATTACAATGAATAGATTTCATATTTCTGAAGATATTTCCTCAGGATTCTGTTTTATTATCACATGTAACTGACAAGACATTAAAATACTGGATATGCACAAATGCCTGTAAACATCAAGAGAAGACTGCATTTGATTTCACTTACGCTGCATCCCCACTGGGATGGTTTAGCTCCACCTGAAAAACAAAAAAAGATAGACTTTGATCTTTAAACTTTATGGTTAGAGAGTCCATTAAAACTGCCAAAACATGTTCATTATTTAGCTTGTTTCATTCATTTAGAAAATTTTCCTTCCGTTTGTCTTGCATTTGAATGGTAAAAATAAAGTGAAAAGATAGAAACAGCATTTAAAGTTTCCATTAAGTGTTGGAAAACTAAAACTTGGCATTACCCAATTGCAGAGAGATGGCAATAAAAAGATAGCCTACCTGTTGCAATGAATTGTCTTTCGTCTCCATTTGATGTTGGGTTAGATAACAAGAAGTTACACTAAAATAAGAGAATGTATGTTTGCAATGAAGGCGCCCTCTCCCTTTGCAATCAAAATGAATAGATCCCCCACGATATTTATAAGATAAAGGGACGGGAGTGGTCTCGAGGAACCAGCCCACAAATTTGTCTCTTCGTGTCACAGAACATCATTGTAGCAGCACGTAAAGATTTGACCTGTCTTGAACTTTGTGAGCAGCCATTACAAGAAATATTATATCAAGATGTTATTATTCGACTAAGATAAACGGAATATGTGTATGAATATTTTGCTAAATATTACTGAAAGTCATACAATTTAAATGCAAGCCGATGCTCCAGCATGAAAACGCTCCTCTCTACACTGAGAGACTTAATGAGATGCAGCTACGGGGCAAGTTGCAGGTAACAACATGTGCGCAGGACAAATGGAACTGAAGTCACCTGGTGAACCAGAGGCGGAAGAAGTAATCAGATATTTTACGTAAATAGAAGTACCAATAATGTAGCAAAATGTCAAAATTAAAAGTTGGCTATTCGTTTAACAGAAAATTGATTATTATTATTATCACTGTATATTACATGTTACATTGTTAATACTGATGCATTGGAGCGTCGGAAGCATTTGACTGTTGCAGCTGGTTGAGGACTAGAAAAAACAAAGCTCTCCCACACAAAGGATTTTTTATTTTTTGGATTTTTCTTTTATCTTCTCACTTTTTGTGAAATATTGGATAATTTAACCACTTTAGGCCTTGATCAATTATTTAAATGAAACCAAATGAAAACTCACAACAAACCACTGGTTTAATGTCTAACAATACACTGTATTTTATTATCCAATTATATGTTTTGGTTTTTAAGATCCTAGTCTGAAAAGTACCCAGTAAGTTCAGGTGTCAGGTAAGTGTACTGGAGTAAAAGTACAGATTTCCTTCTGAAGTGTAGAAATAAAATAGCACAATATGGAAATACTCAAGTGAAATGTTCCTGTACTCGAGTACAGTAGCCTACTTGGGTAAATGTACTTAGTTACTTTGCAGCACCACAAGTAACAAATTATCATAATATCATCAAAGGACAAATCCCTCCAGCAACTGTGACCTGTCAATTATGGTTTAACTCGACTATGACGGCACAAGGGGTGATTTACTTAGAATTGGTTACCATTTCTGGTTATCTGCATGCATGTGATATCCCTGCATAACTAATTCTTTAGGGTGGTTTTGTCACTTCTCCTGCTGCTCTCCCCTCTACTTGAAGTTTCTTTCCTCCTTTTTTTCTTTAAACACACTACTATTAAAGGATCTTAATAGGTGATGGAGAATTGAAGCCTAAAAAAAAGTCTGCACATGCAGGAGAAACAGCTGATGACTGATCAAATATAAAACCAGTAACAGATGTTCCATTATATTCAGTCTTCTACTGTAATGTAGAGTATTTTGTCATTTAGCAGTGTATGTTTTAATGAAGTTTCATCTTAAGTGCTGATTTGGACATTTTTCTTTTAACAGACAAAGAATCCCCTCTCAACAACACTGATGACAGAAATATCCACATATCCACATATATAGGCTACTAGTCTGTAGATTTCTTCTAGTCATGAGATACGTTTTTCTTATTCAACATAACATTTTATAACTCTTGTTTGAGAAATGTGTGAATGTGAGGGACAACTTGTGTTTTTATTGCTCCATTCCTCACAAAAAAATGGATCCAGTAAGTATTGAACCCATGATAGAACTAGTATATTTGTAACTCAAATGAAGAGGTCTCTTTTATGGTTAGAAATACCGTGCATTTTCGGGTTTTAAGGAAATAGGAGACAAATTGTGCCATTTTTTCTTGTATCACTTTAATCATTATATAATGACCACGATGCTGCATGACTTCTGCACGTCGTGCATTTTGACATTTCCCTCAGTCACCCTTATGACCAATGCGATAACCTACATTACCCATAAGTCTCTGCGCACTAGCTACGTCATTCAGGGGGACAGCATGGCGGCGTCGGGTCCCTCCGCGGACGGCAACACCAACATCCCAGATTATGAATACACTGATGTGAACACCACAGCTTTTCACATCGGCTCGTTCAGAAACGAGTGGCTGAGCAGACTGAAGGCGGAAGACTGCTCCTACCAGCAGGAGGACGACGACGCGTTCGATGCTAACTTTGCTAAAGAGATGGGGGTCGCTGCGGAGACCATGACCGAACTGAAATCCATCTGCAGGTAGTCAGACCGGATGTTGACCCAACGTTTGGTAACGGTCTCTAACCATTAAACGGTCATTTGTGTCTCACACTCATTTATCTGCTGACTTCACTTCAGCTTGCCACCAGGGTACAAAATAACTATAATGACCATTTTTGTCTATTGTTTTCCTGACACTCTGCGCTATGATATCAACACAACATCACTGTGATTGGGCTCGAGTGAAGTAGGCGACTAAAATACAGCAGCACGTGATGAATATCACTCCAGTTTATGCTGAGAACAAAAGCAGAGGAATAAAGTATAGTAAACTGTGTTTTAGAGTTACAAGGTACTTCACTGGTGCACATACCAAACACGAGCAAATTAAAAGCACAAACACGGTTGTTATGTGCAGTTGTTACAGGCAAGTGGATATGAATATAAAAAGAGGTAGTTTTTTAGGTTCTCTTCATGGATAGCTTCTCCATCTTTAATTTTGGTTTTGGCATTTATTGCACAGGAATTGTGATGAAGAGTTGGTGTCATGCAAAACCTCCTGCTTGTAGAGCTACAACGATGATTAATCGAATCCATTAGTAGATTAATCAGTAATTAAAATAATCTTAGTTTCCACCCTATTTGAGTTAAACGCTTTCTTGTCCCACTTTTCCCATGCTTTGCAAAAGATTCAAAGGATTTTGTTTTTATTTCTCTCTTTTCAGTCTCGATTCACTCCGTTGCCATCCTGAGGATGAGCAGCCTGATACAGAAGTTGTACCTCCAGACCCGACACTTAAAACACTAGTGTATGAATCTCTCTCAACTGTTACAATTTACAGTATATTATGTCCTGGAAAAACCAACACCATGCAAACAAATTCACATGCTATGCTCTGCGATTTTGTTTTGAACAGACAAAGGAAAAAGAAACAAGATTACAGAGCTTCTCTGAAAGTCACTAAGAATAGACATGACCTCTACGCAGATGAACTGGTGAGTCCACTGGAGTAATACTGAAAAGCTGTCAGTCAGTAACATCCTAAATTAGAGTAGTGGAATAGATTTTAACAGTCTATGTTTGACAGGGATGGTGCCAGACATTCGTCTCATAAACGTTCACGTATCTTATGTAAGGCTTGGTTCTCTCTGTGATTTCCAGGAGCGTTTAACTGTTGGCAGAAGACCAGAAGAAGTGGCTGACTTGGTCCCGGAAGGAGAAGTCATTCTAACCATCAACATCTACTACCCTGCCATTTTTGAGAAAGTAAGCGTTTAGCTTTTTCTCAGGGTGCCCAAACCACTCAAACTCTCACCATCTTTACTGACATTGTTTCTTGACTGTTTTTCATCCATTTCCCCTCAGTTTAACTACATCAGACCCCACATGACTCTGCTGATGACAGGCTCCCACAGCTTGGCAGAGCTCAGGGATGCTATTTGCTGTGTCAGCGACTTGCAAGTGTGCGGCGAGTTCAGCAACACGCCGGACATTGCTCCAGACTTCATCAGCAAAGTAAGCAGCACACATACACCTCATCTGAAGCACTCTGCAAGATCTGAACATAATCATTTCGTCACACTATCCACACTTAGTGGTCTCGGTATCACTAAAACAACTTCATTTACTTTGCATAAGAAAAGTATCTATTGTGTTCTGTTTTCAGGATCATTACAAGTCAGCTTTCTTCTTCTTCGAAGGAGTTTTCTACAATGACATGCGATTCCAAGAGTGTCAAGACATCAGCATGTAAGTTTGATCTCTTATCGCCTTAGCTAACTCATTAACTTAATTAATTAATTTGTCGATAATCAGCTGTCATCACTCGGTTCAGACCTGGCATTTACATCTGTCTCGTGTGATGCGATCACATGTGGACAGCTCTAAGTTCAGGTGTGAACGCACCCAAGACGAATTGTGGACGCATTTGAAATCCGATCACTCTGACCACATTTTAAGGTGGTCTGGGCCACATCGAGGGACCGCCTACTCAACTGAATTCCTCTGCCACGGTCCAATTTGTCCCACCACAGTTTCATAATGAACCGAAAATATTTTACTATTTCAAATAGCTAAATTCTTATTTCATTGTAGAGCTGTGTGTAGCGCATTGATTCGCATAAAAACGACAACTTGTGATAGACAACTTGCGAAGTGCTTGCTATAACCACAGTTTGGGATATCATGATAATATTTGTAATTATAATATTGTTTAATTAAATATTTTTGAATCCATATGGTGTGAGATTCGAACCAGGGAACTGTCATGAAAATGCCCTACCAGATGTCTGGTAACAGCCAGTGTGCAATGATGCAATACTAGGGTTTTTACTGTAGGGTCGGCTGTGCACTGGATGTACACCAGGTCAAGACATTTATTTCAGGAGTTCTTATGTAATATAAAAATAGTGAAATATCTGTTTGAATGTCACCGTGGTGCTACTGTTAACACGGCAGCTTATACAATCTGATCTTTGTTCGAATGGATGCATTTATTGACTCCTTGTGATTCCTGTTCTACATCATACTCATAAACAGACCATAGATAGTGGTTGGAAATATTTGGAGCAGAACATTGCACTTGATCTGCTTCTATTCTCACACTAAAAATACCCTAAAAGCTTGTGCCTGGAAAAATTTGTTTGAAAAGGTGATGTTACCACAAAAAGTCAAAAAATGCTCTTGGACATATTACTCTTCATTCATTAACTTTAAATCACACTCTTGCAATTATCTATTCCCTAGAGTCATATATCCAGTTAAAAAGTCTCCTGTCTAGAAATCTTATGAGAATTTTTAAAGAGATGAACATGAAACTACCAGAAATACATATAATGTGCTTTATAACTTCAATATTTTAAACAGATGTTTAAAAGAAGTACATTTTTGTAATATATTTCCTGGTGTTTGTAACACAGGACTGTGATTGAATGGGCAAAGGCCCGCAACTTCCCACCCCACAGCCAGGCAAAGATGGAGGACACACAGTTTGTGGATCTGAAGGTAAAAGTGGGCTTTCCTTACCTCTACTGTCATCAGGGAGACTGCGAGCATCTCGTCATCATCACAGACGTCAGGTTAGTGCTCTGTCTTTTTTTTCCCTTTGTGTTCAACAGGTGTTCAGTTCTGTGATCGAGCTGCTTTTCAAAATCCACTCAGCCTTTTACTGAAAAGATGAGATACCAGAAACGAGAGTCAGACCAAATATAAATAAGTGACGTACCATCATACTAGGAAGAAACACTAAGCATCACTTACTGGGAATCCACATTAAAAGTGAGACATCAGTGACGCATAAGTGCTACTGAAGCGTTGGGTCTGTTCAGTGCAGACAGACTCTTTCCTCCGTTCTCTGTTCACTGTACAAGAATGTAGGCTCAACAGGAAAAAAAAATCAGCACGGGACACCTGGTGTGCCGTGTCTCAGAGTTGGAGTGGATTGATTCATTTGATAAATTGGAAGCTCATTTGTTCTGTGAGAAAAACACTAGAAAGCTGCATTAGCAATACATTAAGGCATATTCACATTATCACAGAAAAACAGCTTTTGCCAGCAAAAAGCTCATTAGCCTACTTTATAGATCAGAGTGTACAACACACACACACAACACACACTGGCCTCATATCAAGCCCAGTTGGCAGAATATCAACTGGTAGATGAAGCTTCCAGGTTTGTTACAAAAGCACAGTTTGAGTGTCGGAAACACAGCGATCAACAATCTGATTTTCTGTTGGTCTGCAAATATATTAATAGTTTAAGTCCTTGTCCTTAAGTTCTGTCAGTAAAGTACAAATTTGAAACATTAAAATATCCATGTAGTGATCCATGATCATTTCAGCTCGTTGCAAGTAATCATGAATTCGGTGGTTGTTTTGAGTGAGGAGCACATGTGCTTGTGTGGAAAACGTTACCATCAAACCTGGGATCAAACCCTGTACCTTAATAAACTATACTCTTCTACTACTCCTGCACAAGACTGGATTTCATTGACACTAGCCTGCAAGATGACGCTTTTTAGAATCTCTTTTTTGAATCACTACGAGCTTTTAAAATAAAGCATCTCCTTGTCAGATGGGATTTGACTCCTCTCACAAGACTTTTTAGCTAATTTGGTTTCATAAGACTAATGGATGCGTAAATGTCTATGAGCCAATTTATTGTTGGTGTGAGCATGGTAACCACACATGAATGCAGCTCTTAATGTCACAAATGTGAGATGACTATGTCCTCATCACTCGCAACCTCTAAGAAACGGCTCTGGTCCCTTCTCCTCTCTTCTCTCACATTGCAGACTCGCCCACAGGAACGACTGCCTGGACAAGAAGCTTTACCCACTTCTCACTCACAAGCACAGGGTCACCACCCAGAAGTGTGCAGTTTGCCATGTCTTCATTGGCAGGTGTGTTTTTAAAAAAAAAAAAAAAAAAAAAAAAAAGTTAGAGAAACAATATGGCAGATTTTAAAACTTTAAAATGGATTACATCTCTTGTTTTTGCAGATGGTTCACTACCAACGACCAGTTTGCTCCGAGTGAACCGTGTCTGTTCTGTGACAAGTGTTTCCGCATGCTTCACTACGACTCTGAGGGCAACAAGCTGGGGGATTTTCTGGCCTATCCCTATGTGGACCGCGGTGCCTTCAACTGAAGCTTTTCTTTAGTGAACGGCTCAGATTACTGATTTAATGCTGTATAATACAGTTAAATATCTTCGTATTTCAGAAAGAAATGTTTTAAGATTTTGGAAAATGTATACTTTTATTTAAAAAGTTTTTCTATGTTTACACATTAATGCTTTGGTTTAAAAAAAATTCTGTTTGAAATAAACAATAACATGTACTGAAAGACTCATGTTCAAACAGACGTGTAGGACAAACACCTGTGGACTAAAATGAAGCCAGCAAACCTTTAGGAGTAACCCAAAGATGCAGAGAGAAAGAGGACCCGTGAATGTCAAAGCCCACTACCCTTGATATTAAATGAAAAAATCCCTCCAGGTCAATGAACTAGTAGAGGTACACTTGAGTTTTCCAGGCAAGTTACCACACCTCCTCAGGTATTTCCATTCTCATTTCTTTTTCCCAATGCTGCCTTACATGATTAGTTAAGTTTTTGCACATTGAGGTGATACCCTTGTTATAATTTGTCTATAATCCATTTGTTACTTTAGCCGTGATAAGCATTTAAAAACAAGTGAATCATTTCAGAGGGGTTTTATGGACCTCTAATGTTCTTTAGAAAGAACATGGCAGACCTGGAAGGACATAAAAATCCTGTCTAGTCAGTTGAAAGGCCTGGCAGAAATGCTGAAAGTTATTAAGCTGCCAGTCTGATACGGTTCCACGGAGGGCAGTTATACCACATTGGGTCCATCGCCCATATCTGTTGATCATGCGATGCTGGTATAAAGTGTGGATCGTAAACTGGATAACATAGTGCTTTAACCTCTGTGTAGCTGGAATTATTTAACCACTTCTTATTGAGGTTGAAAATAGGTTTACAGGGCCATTAAGGCTACTGAAGTTCCTACGGCGAAATAAGTCTACCTATTTGCAGAAATTGCAAAAAATGTTGCCCAGTCGGTCAAACACAAGCAGCCAATAGGTCAAAGTTTTAAGTTCTTAGATCCCTTCGTGTACCCAGAGGCCTACAGAAATAAGCCACATTCCTATACATCAAATTTATTTTTACGGATGCAACAAAAAGAACTACAGTATAGTAACTGTAGCTTGACCACTATGGTTAAACAGGCTGATAACTACAGAGTCAATGAGGAGGACTCCTGTTTTCAGCAACACAAAGTGGACTGATCTTCGAGGTGCTCTACACATCGACAGCAGCAATATTTGAGACCAACGCAGGATTTCTATCATTGTGAACAAATGATGAAAGACAAAAGGTGAACTATATGTACTGCTTTATTATTGAATGCTGAAACAGGTCATCAGACAGGCACAAAAATACTCTTATTTACACCTATGTTAAAAAGAAAAACAACTTAAAAAACAGACACTTGCACATGGTTGAGAAAAAAGCATTTTCTTGGCAAAAGAAACTTTGGCAAAACTGCAGAATTTTCGGTGTGTGCATCTGATGTGAATAGGTATCTATGGTAATGGTGTTTTCTAACTACAGCTATGTCTCCGTACTTGAAATCATCTGTAAGAGAAGCTAAAATCAAACTGCTGATTATGGAAATGTGAAAAGGCAAAGTTTAAATGCACAGGAAACATTAGAGTAAAATAAAAACCATCTACTCCATTTTAAAAAAATAGGACCAAATGGTACTAACCTGCTCTCTGTTAGCATGCTCATTAAGATCTAAGTTCACAGTGTTGCAGATCTACAAGTTCTTACTCTTTACGCTGTTCATGAAATTCAACAGATGTGACAATGTATGTGAGAAGAGTTGTCTGAAAGGTAAAGATTACACAAAGTACAAAAATAAACTATGCAGTCAGTCAGTCAGTATCTTGGAGTTGGAGGGGTTTGATGTACTGAAGCCTTTGAGCAGCAAAACTGACGAAAACAGTCAGTGAACTGGAAACCAGTGACAGTGATCAGTCATCAAAAGGAACTGGACCGGAGATCCCAGTTGGTGAGCCCAGTTTGAACAAAGGAGTACAGCAGCACATGTCCTCTCTTTCCTTCAGGCAGGTAGGACACTCAAGTGGACTCTTCCTGAGCTTTTGGGGCACTACAGTCAAAGAAAATAAGTTTAAAGTTAAATAGATGTCAATAAACACAATTGAGGGTAGGTGGTGATATTTTATATATGTTCCTTATTTTAAGTAACCATGCAAAACCTACAGTTATTATATTGTATTTCCCGTGTAGCCCTCATCTGATCTTGTTCACCTATGCATCCACAGTTGTTCAAACACATACATATATGTAAGCCACACTGAGCGAGATGTTTATTCATTATAGTGGACATGGTGAATTACTGTAAGTACCAAATTTGTATCAATTCACCGCTTTAAATAGCCCCCAACAAATGTACCCTTTACGAGTATGTATGTGTAACGTTTGGTAAAAACTAGTTCCCAAGCTGTTTCAGGAAACTACAGAGCCATTTGTGACATATCTTTGATGATTTATGCATTCAGTTGGAACAAAAAGGGCTTAGGGCTGTGAGTGTGAAAGTGAAACCAGAATTTCTGCTCCACAAAAAGTCAGACGTTTATAATAAATCAAACAACAAACAATTGAGCCTTGGAACAGAACCTTTCTCGACAGTAAGCCGTGTGGTTCAGTCCATGTTTCTGCATGAGGACTGCAATTTAATTTAAAATCACAAACGTTTAATTACTAATCGTAAGAGCAGCGGATGCCGATGTATCTCAGGATGCAGGATGGAGAACACACCCTCGGAAAACGTTTCATCTTTATCTACAAGAAAGCCTCAATGAGACACTTGCGCTGAGCTATAGAAACGTGTGGAATAGAAGCTATCCCGGAGTTGACGTCATGATTTCTGCTCATTTGTAGACAGAAAGAAAATATAAAATGATTTACGATAAAGTCTCTTATCCAGTTACAATGTACAATTTTATTAGTGTAACTCTTATATAATGTATGTGAGAGGAACCCCAGACAAAACTTTAGAATCACAATCACACACTGTGTTTTCTGTGCGTTTTAGGTAAACTACCTGTGATTCTCTCCTGCGGGGGCGTCTTCTAGCAGCTTCTCCCGCTCCGTCTCCTGCTTCTTCTCCTCAGGGCTGATATCGCCATTCGTCAGCTTGTCTTTTGGGCAGTGCACAGAGGGACAGACAGGCTCAGTCAGACAGAACATGACTACACAAACTAAAACCACCGCAGAGACAGGAACTCACAGGAGCATGTGACGACACATGCCGAGCTGCAGACCTTACTGAGATAAATACGATTTTCCACCCATTCGGCATGCCTTGCTCTAGAAAGAGACCTTTCACGGGGGCCGTCGTATTGGTGCGAGTACAGTACGCACATCAGTTGAATGAGTCACTGAAGCGAGGATATGGCTGCAGAGCTCTGATTACTGCCCGTGTCTCTAATACAAATGTCAACCACAGATGACGTCCTAATGGGAAGAAGTAGTGGACTAGAAGCACATAAATGCCTCTGTTCTCCGGCTGGTTGTCATATCCGACTCAGCTGGTCATAACCGCTTTACCAATAGCCGACAGACAAGCCCCGTTCTGCGACTTTTATCACCTGACCTCGCCAGCTTCCAAATAGCTCACATGTATGACTGCTTACTTTTACACTTCCTGTGCACATTGAGAACATTTGTAAGTTGTGTGCAACAACAACAGCAGCAGCAATCATGAGTATTGATCATCAGCATCAATTGCTAATATTAGAAATGTGCTAGAATTATTGCAGATGTGTAATCCAGGAGGATCATTGTCACTCATTTGGAGTGTTTGTGTCCAAGTGATGAATTTAAGAGCAATATTCAATCTCTTATAGCTCTGTCTTTGGTTTCTACCAACTCCTAAGAAAAGACATCTGGCTCTTCAGCTTCTAAATACTTCAATATGTTCACCAGCTAGTTCCTAACTGTGTCTGTCTGCTTTTTTGATGAAAACAGCTGTAGACGACGCTACTGGAGCCACGAGAGTGAACCCAAACATTAGTTGTGGGGCGCTTCAGGGGCTGCAAATTGAGGAGATAATTCTCTGTAGGTTCAACACAACAAACGACCTCTTTTACATTGTCACGTTGTTTTCACGTTGTCATTTTACACATTTTTAGAGAAATTATATCGGCTTTAAACAAACTGAAAATATCAGTTACTGGGTAAAAAGCAAGCAAGAAAACTACTAAAATACTTCAGCTGTTTCAGAAGATTCTGTAACACCAAAGAAAGAGTCCTCATTGATAAAATAAAAGGGAGTAACGGTAAAAAAAAGAAAAAGAAAAGAAAAAAAAAAAGTGAGCTGGGTGGATGAAGAGCTGCAGGCGACAGACAAGAGCTGCAGTCTGGATGAAATCAAACAGTTCCTCAATACTCTAGCACCAATGAAGGGAAACCTGTTACTGCACCCGTCATATGGAAACCCACTCGCACCACGCTTACATCACCGGCTAGGGTCATGGTTGATCGTGGTAAGCATGGTGGCGTAATTTCGACTCTATGGAAACTCAGCATCAGTAAAACCATTGGAGACATTCTCTACAGTGATCACTTGTTCATCTACAGCATGAGAGATGAACATCCCCAGGACTACTCAGACCCCATGATGTGACCAGAATGTTACGTTGAAACAAGCAGCTCGAGTGAAACAGAACATTAGCTGACCAAAAGTTTAGACAGAATCACTATCACCCTGTTTCACTAGCTCAAGTAAATGTAGTTAAATGTAATTACATATTTCTTACTGTAATTTATCCTCTAGAGTCTGCCATCAGGCGAACAAACCATAAGGCCTGTAGCCCTGTAGGCAACGTGAAAACCGCAGCCGTGTGAGATGTTTGCACACAGATTTCTGAACATATTTGTACACCCAGAATACTTGCCTGCCTGTAGGTGTTCCAGCCAACTGAAAGAGGCAGCATGCATGTCAACAAGAGACTCTACAATGATTAGTACCTGAGTTGTTTTCCTTGGCTTGTTCGACTCTCTTCAGCGCTCCTTTCTTGGCCTCTTCATGCTGCCGTTGTTCGACTAAAGACTTGTTGAGCACCTGGCTGAGCACGCTGTCGCCTTCTCCGACCAGAAACATGCTCTTAAACTTGTTATACAGCATGGTGGCCTTATCCATGATGTCCTGACTGGCCTTGAATCTGCGAATCTGGAACGTGAATAAAAACATGCATCGCCACTCAGTAAAAGGACTTAGAGGCACACCCTCATGTAGATTGATTGCTCAGTTTGTTGTCTTTCTATGGACCTTGGATCATTCACTGTACCTTTTTGAGTGTGGCAATGAGTTCACTGTGTTTCTGCAGGTGCTGGGTTGTGACCTGGAGGGATCCGATCTCATCTAAAGCCTCCAAGCACTTCTTCACATCCTGGGGAGGGGGGTAATGCAGGACATTATCAAACTTAACCAAGGGGTATCAAAAATTGCTCTCTACATATGTAGGACTGCACAAACTGAAGACAACAGAAGTCTCAGTTCATCTGGTCAGCAGCAATATTAAGCTGCAAAACAACTTCTGCAGACTGGAGTAAAGCTAGTCTGATGACTTGTTTGCCTAAAACTCCACTGTCACATCCCCCCCAAGAATTTCAGTAATTTGACCAGTTCCAACTGTCTCATGATGTTATCCTGTTGACCTGTTTTGTACTGTGTAGATCATGCTCAGACCTGCACCCCCCACTGATGGAAAAATCAGCGTAACTCAGGGAGTGGACCTGTGTTGCCAAGTGCAGCAATTTAGGTCAAAAACAGAGGATGGGAGTCTGGGGGTCATTCAGTCACAATATCGTCACAGCGCTTTAACTCATAAAAGACGCACAACACAAGGGTAGAAGAGGAAGAGGAAAACTGAACTTTTAAAAATGAACAACAATTTGAAAGAACACAGTAGAGTCTGAGCTTTTTGTCTTTGTCAGTTCAGTGCATGTCAGGGTAAATGTAAAAAGTTATGAGCGGTAAAAGATGTATGAGATATCCTGTAATTATGATCCGACGGTGAACTTACAGGGTTGTCAATCTTCAGTGAAATCTTGATTTCACTGTGCAGTCTGTGGAGTTTCAAGTCAGTTGACATTTCTGAGGAAAAATGAAAAACAAAAAGGAAATGTTTTTAGTTAAATTACTCTTTTTTTTTTTTTTTTTTTTTTTTTAAACAGAACTTCAATGATGTTTGAATATAACACAGAAACATATTTCCATATATTGGAAATGTCAAATCAAGTCACTGAGGATTAATGAGTTCTGAATTCAAGACTCTGAAAACAGAAATATGAACAGAACTGACTGTTTGTTGCAGTGTTTATAATGTAAACTGAAGGACTAAATGAAAACAGGGAAAAAACTAGAATTACCACCTCACAGTTGTATTCCTCCACCAACCACTCAAGTTGTGGGAAACATGGTCACAATCTCCCCTTTCAGAGTTACAGCATTGACCAAAGTGTTTTTGCAGAAAATGATGATGTCAAGTTGACCTTTGACCGTTTGGATATAAAATGTCAGCACTTCGTCATTTTATCCCATTAGACGTTTGTGTTAAATGAGTCATAATTAGCATATGAATTCTTGAGTTATGGCCAAAGTTACGACCGGAGGCATAAAAACCGTGTGATGGATTAATTGATGTAAGGTTTAATACCACAGGTCTGATTTTTTGATTGATTATTGGATCATGATGCTGTGCTACACAATAAAGTCTCATGTCTCTGGAAGTGGCCACAAAAAATGAGAAATATGTAAAATAAATAATAATAAAAAGAACTTTTGTTCTTTTCTTTCTTCAGGTTATTTGGTGCCTTGAAATCAACAATTTTGTTTTAATATTTAAACGACAGTGCTTACCTTTCTTCTTAACTCCTGTCCTCTCTTCATTTTTCTTCCCATCATCTTTGTTCGGCCTGCAAGACACAATAGCCCACAGAAATCAGAAATCTATCCATTCCTCTCCTAATGAGTTTCTTACGTCTCCATATGAACAGTACAAGCACGATGTAGTTGATAAATATAATGTATTCTCTAATTCCATTCAATATTCAGATATTTACTCAACTTAAAATTCTGGGCATTTTCTGGTTACTCAAATGTTAGCTTTTCTCTTTACGTCCTTGTAAAGTAAAGACTTTTGGACTGTTGGCTGCTAAAAAAAAAAAAAAGAGATGAGGACATCCCTTTGGTCTATGGTAACTTTGTATATGTAGATCGACACTTACTCTCTTAATTCATCTGCTTTCCGTCGCCGCACATCTTTGTCGATTTCTGAGCTTTGCTGTTTCTTTCTGCCTTTATTTTTCTGAGATGAGAAGAAATTTGAAATCGTATCAGTGAGAGCATCACTGACTTTCTCAACACCACAATCTTATCAGAAAACGTGTTGGTGTTTCACTGTTGATGGATTCTAACTATGAGGATATTCGTGTGGACTGGACACCTGCCTCTTCATCGTCAGAGCCAGAGGAGCTGTCATCCTTGGACTGCTTCTTCTTCTTGGCTTCAGGCTCCTTCACATCTGCATCCTTTCCTTTGCTGTCCTCCCTCTTCTTTCTCTTCTCCTCCTCTCCACTCTTGGATTTGTCCTCTAGTGCCCTCTTTCTCTTTCTGTCTGATTCAGCAGTGTCCCTGAAATGTAGGAGGAAATATCTGTTAGAGACTTAAAAGATGAATGTTACGCAGTTTAAATACAGCTGCTCCATGAGTATAGTCCACACCCATAATCAACTCATACTGTTTATGAATGCAAGTTTAAAGCAGAATTTTATGCTTCTCTTTGACTCTGTGCATCTTGAAATCTTATGGGTCAACTTTCTATTTTTCATTGTCAATTTGACAAACATGAAATCAAAAATGATAAAATATTTATATTGTGCATTTTCATAAAACAAATCATGCATTGTGTGTTCATATTCATGTGGTTACATTTCACTGCCTGAGCCTTGTTGATCCTGCTGCTGGAGCAGAAGCAACTTCTCACTTTTGGGCTTCCTGCCTCTTCGCTTGGGGCCCTCCCCACCTGATCACACACAAACATACACACACACACACACACACAAAATTGCTATGAATTCTGTTCATAGTGCTACATGTTTGTCAATGTGACTAATGTATTTCTCTCATATTTCTTGCTGTGTTTCTGTCTCATTGTTACTGTCTCACACAAGCTGACACACACACACGCACGCACAAGCTTGAACTTTCTTCTTCATAGCACAAAGTCATAAACAGCATTGTGGGTACAATATCAAGGGCAATAGATCCGACCTGAAGGACTAACAGGACTTGCAGGAGCATCGTCTTTTTCAGTCTCCTGGTCAGTTTCACTCTGAAGAAAAATTGAAAAGGCGTCATCTTATAAAATGTTTTCCACAAACTAAAAAAACATTCTCTATACATACCGGTTTCACTCGTAAACCCATCAATAAATACTACCAACCTTTTTCTTTCTTCCTCTCTTGGGTTTAAGAACATCCGTGGATTCTTTCTGAGCGGCGCCCTAAAATGTGACACCTTTGTTAATTTTGTTATGATCTTTATTCCCTCTTAAACATATCAACAAGAGCTGCAACTGAGAGGAGAACAAAATAAAAGCTGGATATCACTGTCAACAAGACATGTTAACATGTATTCAGTCCTTGGATTATTTGATCAGTCACTTCATAAAAAAAAAAAAACAAAAAAAAAAAACACTTTTTTTTCTGGAGCAGTAGCTAGACCTCTAGTGTACAACTGTGGCATTACATGCAATGCAATATTTAATGTGCCAGTGTTTCATTAACTGTAGGCGTGTCCCAGTTTCATACTACATACTTTGGAACGTCACTGCCAATTCAGCTTTATACAGACAATGGAAAAAGGTCCGTCTAAAGATGTAAGTTTAGCTTAGTTTAGTTTGACAGGATCTCTGTGGAGTTGTTCCTGCAATTTTTTTGCAGCTCTGAGAACCTCCTCCACCTCCCTTGTCAATTGCATTGTGGGACAGCAGTGCACATCAACAGCACACTTAAGTATGTAGTGCTTTTTAGTGCATACTGACTTTTCTTTTGGGATATGCTTTCCTAGAAATAGTTTGTATTAGTATGGAATTGGGACACAACTCCTGTCTTGGTAAAATACTCACCACTGGGAAAATGTCAAAGCAAACAACTTCAATAAACTGAGCCCCTCTCAAATTACATGAAGACATGAACTGAGTTACAACTTACCTTTCTCCAAAGCACACAGAAAGCCATGCAAAAATAAAGTTACATCAACTAATTGCAAACAGTAGGATTAGGCAGTATACAGACAGGGAAAAGCAAGAAAGGGAAAGCACTAACAAGTTGTCAGGGTTGTAAAGCAGAGAAAGATGAAAAAAAAAAAACAACAAAAAAAAACTTTACAATTATTTATGTTACACGCATAGAGTTAATGTTCCCCTGACATTAGCAGCATTTTCAGTGGCCTAGCACAAGCTTATCTGATATTATTCAATCTTAATTATTTCATTGAAAACTCAGGGAGTGCTTTCTCACATTATTCAATCTGTTTGCAGATCACCCATCACCTCAGTAGCATTAACATAGCAAAACCCAGGCCAGGCACTTCAATCAAAACATCAGGCACCGGCAAAACTTTGTGGCCGCCAACAAGAGTTTTGAGTCAAACAGAAACAAACCACCCAATTGAAAAACCACCACGTGTCACATGCTTTCCCACGGGGAGGGAATGAGACAACCTGCACCGCTTTATGGTATCCCAGCATGCAAAGTACGTACATCCTGGTCCTGAGGACCCTGCTCAGAGATCAGAGACCCTTCCTCCTCCTCCTCCTCCTCCTCCTCCTCCTCCTCCTCATCCTCCTCCTCCTTCTCCTCATTCTCATTCTCCTGCTCAGCCTCAACTCCTGGAACCTGAATGCACCCGAGACACAGCATAGGACGCAGTGTGGTGGGGTAAGCAAGTCTTGAAAGGGAGAAAAGTTAGCGAATATCCTTCTGTTGCACACACTACTCTTAGCATACAAGCCCTTCAATCTATTAATACAAATTGACACTGTTCATTTGCAAGCTATTGCCTGCTGTTGTATGTAATTCATTATGAGGCAATCACACGACACACATTAGAGAAAGATCAGAAAGACAGCAAAAGAAGGAAGAAGCTGACAACACAGGTACAAACCAGTAGCATGTCAATGCAGTGAAGCGACTGTCTACATATTTACTTGTGCAGATCTGAGGAGCAAAAACTTACTTTGGATTTTATCCCCTTGTCGTCTGCATCCTCCTCTCCTTCTGGACCGCTGTCTGAATCCTTTTCAGTGAAAGATTCTGGAGGAACCGGCTTCAAACAAAAAAGTAAAAAATTTGATTAAATGTGAAAACTTAAAAAAAAAAAAAAGAAAAAACCTGAGAAGCAGGAGGCTCTGAATCAGCCATGCACATGCAATAATGTCAGAATAATGTATGAAACAGATGTTAAGCTTTCACAAGGGTTTTATCACAGAGCTTTGAGGTAGTAGTAATAATAATAAAATGGAAAAGGGGAAAAAACTATTTTAATAAAATGAAATGACATTTGTTTTTGATGGTCACCAGTCAACTCATCCATTTACAAGTGCACAGTAGGGACAAAATTTAATTTCAAAACAAAGTTTCTGGGCAGGTGCTTCTGGCTGCTTCTCCAAAATGGGGCGATGCTGAAAAGCTTTATATTAACATATTTAAATGCTGGCTGCTAGTCTCCTTATTTAGCAGACCTTTTGACTCTCAGGTAGCATTTTTGCTGTTTACCCTAACAAGCTGCTGAAAAAACTATTCAAAAATAATAAAACCACTTTGGTTAGCTTTAGACATCCACAGCAAACCCCGGGTCAGGAAGTGGGGACAAAATCAAACACAAAATCCACAAGTCAACACAAAATAAAAACAGTCAGGGAGGTTGAGCAGCATCTCAGGAACAGCTGATCCAAGCCCAAGTCCAACTTCTGTGGGAGGAATACCAAAAAATGTTGTTGGTGGAAATAAGAGGAAAAGGATGTACCTTGGGTGCGGTGAGCTCAACTTTTGGGTTGTTCTCAATCTCCCACAATCCCTCATTGAAGCCTTTCCTCTTGTTGGGCTTGGCGTACTTGTCTTTGTTCGGCAGGTATGGAAAGATATCTTTTGGGCCAAGAAATGCTCTGTTGGAAAAAATATCATTTCAAGGATGTTTGTCCATTTAATACTTTCTGAACCATTTAAAATGTAGTGTGTGTTTACTGTGAGCACACAGATGAAACAGACAGGTCACTCTATTCAGACACTCATCAAACATGTATGGATTTAAAGAAACACCTCCAACAGGGCACAGTGATGGCTGAAAAGACAAATTGGATGCAACTATTTACCATTAAAAATTATGTTTATATTGTGAACTCAATGTATGCCAGTGCATATAGTTTAAAAACTCTAATGTTCTAATGTCAAAGTTAATCTTTAAATAGTATAACAAATAACTTCATCAACCTCTGTAAACCTACTGAATGCTCACACGGAAATGTTCACATGCATCAGACATTTTCGCCACACAATTCTTCAGAAATTCTATGGCAAAGGCAGTTTCTTGTGTAAACTATCTCATGGACAACTCAAATTAAGTACACAGTTTACTTTTTCCACCGTTTTCTAAAAATGGTAACAAATTTTCAGTTTTACCTGACCACATATTTCCTGCAGTTCCAGCTCAGACTAAACAAAACAATACATACTACTTCACATAAGTAAGTATGTAAACCGATCAAACAGTTACTGGTGTGTTACTAACGTTTCATGGGTGCCAAAGAAGAAGATGGGAAACTTGATGTTGGATGGCTTCACAGCACCGTCTGGGACTTCATCGATCTGTCACAGAGATGAGAAAGAAGCAGATATTTTCTTACAGCCATAAACAGCATGAAGTTGTCATTAGAGCTGGAACAAATGTATGTGTCTGTGGTTTGTCTCTGTGGGAAGGATGTCGTCATATGTTGTTTTTGTGTGTGTGTGTGTGTGTGGGGGCTTTTTGCACCTGCATTTCAAAGTATATTAAATGCAGTTTACTTCTAATTGTAGCACTGCAACAAACAATTATTTCACTGCAAGTTATTTTCTAGGTAAATCAATTAATTGACTCATCCATAAGTCAGGAAATAGTGAAACATGCTGTTATAATTTCTCAATGACCAATATAACTTCTTTAAATGTCTTATTTCATCTCACCAACCAATCTAAAAATATTTAGTTTGGCATCATGTATGACACAAAAAAGCATCATATGTACAAATCTGAGAGGCTGGCACCCGAGAAGATTTTGCATTTTTGTTTTAGAAAAAAAAAAGACTGAAGCGATTTAGAGCTGCATCGATTAGTTGATTAATGGAGGGGCAGAAAAAGAATCAGCAGTGTAAGTAAGTTAGTGTAATTTTTATGAAAAAAATTTATGACGCTAAAGTGAATATCTTTGAGGTTTGGACTTTTAGTCGGAAATTTTTTTTTCCAACAAACATTTGTACTATTTTCAGACACTCGATGAACTAAATGATTGATCGAGAAAACGATCTGCCGATCAATCATTTGTGAAAACAATAGTGTTTTTTCAGATTAATCGACTATAGCTGCTGCAGGGCCAATGAAATGCTCTGAATAAATTTGCCTTGCTTTGCCTGATTTTGAGCTCCAGACTTACTCGTGCGGGCCAGTGAGGATAGCCCTTCATCTTGGCGAAAATCAGATCACCGGGTTTCCAGTCTCGAGCCATGCTGAGGGTATTATCAAGCTGGAAAATAAAGACGAGTAAATTAGCAAGACCATTTACATGAGCAACACTATGGTGCATCTACGCAGCAAAGGGAAACGTGTATACATCCACTCAGTGCCCCTCCCCCTAACCACCACCACCATCTACATCCTCCGGAGTCCACAGTTCATTCAAACGTGACAGTCATGTTTCGTATGACAAAACTAGTCTTGCATTTCACACATCCACTGTCTGTACTCAATTTGATCCCACTGACACTCAGCAGAAACTAAAATCCGAGATAACTAGCGTGAACGAGATGTAAGCACAACCTCATCAACAAACACGCATGCTACCGAGCTTGTAGCTGTTTAAAGCTACCGAAACCACAACGACCCCCCTTCATTCACCTCTAGTGTGTGCAGACGTGTAGAGGAAACTTGAATGTCGTTAGTACTTCTGTAGATTGTTGATGTAGCACAAATTTTAACCAGGGAAACACACCGCTCCTTTTCCGCACAGTCGGATGCACGTTTTCCGCTCCCGCGCAGGACGTCGTCAGACTGTACCATTACAAGGCAAAACGTGGGAGAGTCTATTTTAATTAATTCCGTTATTTGTGTTGTTGTTTTTGTTCTGTTTACTAAGAAGAACCAAAACTCCCATATAATTAAATGCTGGGTGTTTGTATAACTGTAGGGGGCTGGCAATTGGATTTTAGAAGGGGAAATATTAGTGAAAGTAACCGCGCTGAGCACCTTACCGTTAAATAGATCGTCTATGTTGGCATTTTGATGGGGGAAAAAAGTGGGCGTCAACTTCCACGCGTGCGCACTCATCCCACACCTAAGCAAATAAATATAGCCACGTTCACCGTCATTGCCAAAGAGTCTGGTTTGGGTAGAAATACAGCAGAAAGCCTACACAAATCACAAAATGTACTTTTAGTGTTCTATGTATTTTTTTGTCAAACATACAGCTCACATGTTCTTGGTACCTGAAAATAGGATCAGAGTGGGAGCTCTGCTGCTGTTCCTTTTTTTTCTCTGTACTGATGCTGAGACTGTCATTTTGATGCAGGGTGAATCATCTTAAATTACATCTGGGTCTATCTTTTATCCAGGGACAATGGAGGTTTTTGTGAGCGTCTATGAGTGCAAGAAAAATATCTCTCTGTCATACAAATCTGTCTTGTTTGTTCATTTTTTAATGCAAATTACACATTTTGTACAACAAGAAGTACACAGCCCCTGCAGCAAACTGACATTAAAAATTGAGCATTTCTTCAAGTGTTGCATAATACACTGTTATTTTTTATTTAATGAACGTAGGAAATAGGAAACTGAACAGCAGCTAATTGTGGCATGTTTAAAAGTTTGAAAAACAACTCCATTAACTCTTAGGCCTTAATTGACTCCTTAGGACTTGTAAGGCAGGTTAAGAATCGTCATTATGAATTGTCTGCCAATAACAAAGCTGATAACTTCTCTGACTCTTCAACTCTAATCAACTGACTGAAGATCTGAAAACGAAAATAACACTTACATTAACATTTGAAAAAAAATGCGTTTGCTGCAGGGCTTGTATTAGTGTCTTTTCAACATCACTTCATCAGGACATTTCATAGTCATTCATGTTTGAATTCCATATTAAGTGATCATATACAGTACAGTGTTGTTGGTTCTCTTGAAAGTTCAATTAATCAGGAAATTAAAAAGCACTTAGTTAAACCAGTGTTATAAAAGTTACAACTGGGAAAGATATAAACATTTGAATACTTTATGAAGTCTCATGGCATCCCTTATTCTTATAAACTTTTTCTTTTTTTTTTTTCTCGATTAACACAATTTCTCTATAAGGCTTCTTTATTGCCTCCCTGCTCCCCTATCATTGTGTCATGCTGACTCCATTTGGTTGGTGTTCAGTGACCTCTAGTGGCAAGATCAGGCTTAACACATGAAATGTAGGCACAAATGCACTGATTTCTTTCCTGGGACACTGAGGCTTCAAATATGTTTTAGCTTTCAAATTTAAAAGGCTTTGACATGGATTTCTCAGGGTGAGGGCTTCTCAAAATAAAACAAAGCAAAACAAAATAGTAAGAAAGCAGGGTCTTGCATGACAGTGCATGTGACAAACTTCGGTCTGCATATCCTGTAATAACAGCTCTTTCCATGACTGATCTACCATACTGTGTAAACTCTAGACCCATCTTCACAAACTCATATTATTTGTCCTATTATTGTTCTCACAAAATTATCTTAAATTCTAGTTAGGGCAGCAACTAATGAACATTTCATTATCAATTAATCTGGCAATTAAATCTTAAATGCCCATCACATTTTCCTGAAACGCAACGTGGCGTCCTACGGCATCACATTTTTTCCAACCACCGATCCAAAACCGAGAGATATTAAAGGTACAACAACATAAACACAGAAAAAAAATGCAAATTTGCACATTTGAGAAGCAGGAACCAGACAATTATCAAAATTTTTGCTTGAAAAATGATTAAATGATATATCAATTATCATATTTATCATTATTATAGTGGTTCATATTTAAATTTCTGTCCATCAAAACTTTCTCTTACATATTGTTTGCTTGTTTCTCAAAGGTTTTTTTTTTTTTTTTTTATTTAGTCTGAAAAAACTTAGTGGATAATCAAGCGTTTAAGAAGAAAAATCTATACATAAGTCGGCCACCAGGCTCTGAAGTGCTTTATACTGATAAAACACTGCAGATGGTGGAAGTACATGAAGGTGACCTCAACATTTGTGACCACACAGATACACAAGCAAGCTTACACAAATCCAAGTCTATGCAAGTCTATGTGTGTGCGTGTGTGTGTGTGTGTGTGTGTGTCTGTGTGTGTGTGTGTGTGTGTGTCTGTGTGTGTGTGTGTGTGTGTGTCTGTGTGTGTGTGTGTGTGTGTGTCTGTGTGTGTGTGTGTGTGTGTGTCTGTGTGTGTGTGTGTGTGTGTGTCTGTGTGTGTGTGTGTGTGTGTGTCTGTGTGTGTGTGTGTGTGTGTGTCTGTGTGTGTGTGTGTGTGTGTGTCTGTGTGTGTGTGTGTGTGTGTGTCTGTGTGTGTGTGTGTGTGTGTGTCTGTGTGTGTGTGTGTGTGTGTGTCTGTGTGTGTGTGTGTGTGTGTGTCTGTGTGTGTGTGTGTGTGTGTGTCTGTGTGTGTGTGTGTGTGTGCGACTATGAATGTGAGTGTGTATCCTTCACCCTGGCAGACGATATGTTGGCAGAACATCCCAGCCCACTCTGTCTCTGAGGGCCACAAAGTCCTGCTATCCTTCCTCACTAATTTGTTAACCTGCCTCTCTTCTTTGCAGAGTCCTTGCTCACATGCTGAGAGAGGCTACTTTATATACGACCAGTGCCATTCAAAATCACCTCCCTGCTTTGATGCTGCACCCTGGCCATAATGGCAATGAGGCAACCCAGAAAAGGAACAGTCAGAGTTCACTGAGGGCGGTAATTTGCTCTACAAGTTTCACATCATAGGGCTTTGTAAATCTATAGAGCTGCTGCACAAGTTGTATCGTCAGCTCTGATGTCACGGTGACATGTGCTGGTTCATGAGCTGATTAACCAATAACAACAGGTGGAAGTTTTTGAGATGGGTTAAATATAAATTCTGCCATAAATGCACTATTTTATTAGCATCAGGACACTGTAACGTTGCATACAGTGGTGCAAAGTAACTAACTTTAGGTGTTTGTACTTTACTTGAATATTTCTATTTCATCCAACTTTATATTTCTGCTCCACAGGGAAAATATAATAATAAAATATAACACATTTCACTCCACGAAATTTATTCAACAGCTTTTGTTACAAGTTATTTTACGGATAAAGATTTTACACACAAAACATGATGGTCTTATAAAAAAACGTATTCTTATAAATTAAATTTGCCAGCATCTAAAATAGCTAAACTGCCTCCACTTTGACCAACTACAACTGTAAAATGACATGCAGGTAGAGCTGCACTATTTTTTTAAAAGCAAAAATGCCAAATATTTGCTGGTTTCAGCTTCTCAAATATGGGAATTTTAGTTTTTTTAATTTGCAATTTATAATATTAACTAGAAGACAATATACAGATATGCTGCTAAGAAACAATCTGAAAGTCAAGTTGAGACAATTTTATTTATATAGCCTCAATTCGCAAATAGGCCTCAAAGGGGCTTTACAGTCTGTACAGGATACAACTTCTTCTATCCATAAAATCTCTGTTAGAATAAGAAAAAAACTCTGATGTGGAAAAAACTATAAGAAAACTCCTCCCGAGTAACCTCCTCTGCCATTTCTCAGACTAAATGTGAATAATGATGAACATTTGCGAAGGATTTTCTGAGTTCCTCAGACTTTGTGCAGAATCATTGATTTAGGTTTTTTTTTTTTTTTTACACACTCCTGTGTAGCATCATCTGAAGGGCACCTTCCCTGCACTTGAATGAGCGATGGTGTCCTTGAGCTTGTGTGTGTTTTTTTATGTGTGTCATACACATGGATTGGCATCTTTCCCCTTACTGCTGGCAAGCCTTCAGCATGTTAGGGGAATGGACGGGGGTGCCACTGGAGAATGATAAAGTAGTCACAAGACAGGTCAGTACATTCATTAACACCATAGCAATATTTGTAAATAAATATGGCTTCATTTGGCAAGGACTTGGCAAAGCAGAGCCTGAATGTTCTTCTGCATATGATGTTCAGAGACGACTCTCATAAAGGTGAAATCAGGTGAAAAAGATACACTTTTGCAGTAATTTGATGTTTAGAATAAATTAAAACTAGTGCAAAAACAACTTTCAAATCCATTTACCAGCACAGGTATTTAATAGAAATCTGCATATTTCCCTCTGCAGACTGGCATTGACAGCTCTGATTCATTAAAAGTGAAGGTGGGAGAAAGTACAGTGTCTGGGATTTCTCAAGGAGGCGTCCAAGAGCTTCACACAATCACCAAGAAAACTCAGAGAAGCAGGAGGGAGGAGAGAAAGTGGGAGGGAGCAAAGGAGGAAGACAGGAAGAGTCAGGCCCTCGGACAGCAGGTGAGTGTGTGAAGGCAGGGGATGACAGATGCTTCTGTCAGCGTTCCAACAGTCGCCGCTTTGTGGGAGCAGCGCAGATGCCTCCTCCCCCTCACCCTCCCTGCCTCCCATCCCTCTCATCCCTCCATCCCTCCCTTCCTCTCGACAGGCTGTGATGTGGGGATAACAAGACAGGAGCAGTCCTCTCAGCAGTAAAGTGACCACACTGGCACGGTACTACACGTGGACAGGGGAGGGGGTGAGGTGATGGAGAGGTCCAGGCCTGGGCCCAAGGCTTGAGGAGGTCTCGGCGGCGGTGGGGGTGGGGTTATAAATGTGGGGGTCAGCAAGCGAGGACAGGGGAAGGGCTCTCTCGCTGGGCTGTGGGAACCAGCTGAGACATGGGGTCCGTGGCGGTCCTGCCTGTGAGGAAAGCAGATGTTTTCACTCGGGGGTGTGCCAAGTTTGCAGAGCAACCTTCAGCTGCTTGGA